GGACGTAAATACAGAGCGCGGGGGGACCTGGTAGATGCAGTGCCATGATTCGGCGGTGCCCTCTTAGTTATAACGGGTCATCGCCCTTTATGCGCGGAGCTGCGATCAGCAAGCCGGGGGGCCGTGCTTGGCAGGCCGGTCACTCAATGAATAAAAATTTTGGCCATCTTCCCGGATCCTGGGATGAGGTTTGGCCATAAGTAGTCACCATCAGTACATGAAAGCGCACGAACACAACCTGCGCCAGAGCGGTGGGACGGAGGTGGGAAGCGCCTTAGGTAATCGATCGGCGCTCCGAGCTAATATCGAGATCCGAGGCTAGGATTAGATACTTACAACTATGCATTACACTGACGGCGATCATGTAAAGACCTGCTACGGTTTCGGCAGCTTGGTTCTGGGCCAACGGCTTTCCATCGTCCAAGAACATGGTTGGCACGGACGATAAGCAGATCCCTCAGCATCTGCAATGACGCCGTCACCACGTTCAACTTGCTGCCCTCAACTTCGTGCCACTCAATCGGCACCTCCGCGACAGGAATCCCCACTTGTTTCGCCAGCAACAGGAGCTCCACATCGAATATCCAGGTCGGCAGTCGCTGGGCGGGGAAGATCCGACGGGCTGCTGCACGCGAAAACAGCTTGAAACCGCATTGCGTATCGCGAATGTGCCCAACCCCGACGATTCGAAGGATCGTATGTAAGCCGTACATGAGGATGTTCCGTAACAGGGACCGCTAGAAAAAGATGAGGAGAAAGAACGGACCACATGTGCATCTCCCCATACCTTGACTACAGCCTCTGTCTTGACCAGATGAGCTCTGCTTCCACGACCATGCCAGCCATCACCGGGTGCAATTTTGTCCATGGCATCCCATAATAGCTCCAGATCAACGAACCGACTGGCACCGTCCGCATCGACCATGAGCATGCGTCTCCCGCCACTGAACAACATCCCGTGGCGCACAGCACCCCTTTCCCGAGGTCTTCTCCAGTTTGACTACGCGAATATCGCACTTCGGGTACGTTCCGGCTAGTTTCAGCGCCGCCGCCGCCGTACCGTCTGACGACCCGTCATCGACAATGACAATTTCGAATGTATGCTGTTTTTCAGCGCAGGCGAAGAGAGGTGGTCGATGGCTGCGGCGAGCATGACAGGGAGGCGCTCGGTCTCGTTGAACGCAGGGACGACCACTGAGAGTCAACAGTGGGAGGATCAGCTAATTTAGTGAGCACACGCGGCTTCTTTGGCGATGAGTGGCAGAGATATTTCGTTTCCGACGGACGGGTGATTATAGGTGGAGGTGACCAAAGGACCAGCAGAACATAGAGCTGTAACAAAGGCGTCAGTCTTCTGGTCTGGGTTCCATAGAATGTACAAGTCAGACAAGGGACGTATCCCTGACCCAGAGATTTCGTCTTCACCCCGGCGCAGACCGCGAAGGATCGCCCAGAGCTCGAAGAACAAGGATGAAGGGGCGCTCATCACGAAACAATGCAAGAAAGCCGGAACTCACTGTCGAAAGCCCTAATACCAAGGCAGTGGCCCCACCGAGCAGCAGGGGAGAGTAACTGTCCATATAATCCTACTGTCTTTACCAGTGTCCAGACTAGCGTTGCATATAGCGACCACCCAAATTTGGAAAATGAGCAATGGAAGGAGTGTCGGAGGCCAGTCCCCAGATGTTGAGCAAAGTCGGTAGCAGGGACAGAAGAGTGAGTAGGTGGTGGATACTTCAGACACAGAGCATGTCGCGCTGCCAGTGCCACGACACGCGAAAATGCGATCAAAGTTGCCACGAGATCCCGTGACCATCAATATCTCACAACAACACGTCGCGGTCGGTTCGTGAATATTTCGTGTTCTATTTGTCGGCAGGTCGCTCACATCACGGCCCGCCAGAAACCGGACTGCTTCTATATATGATGCGATTTGCGGCGTGAATTTCTCGGCTCCGCTTCTCTTTGAAATCATGGCTTCTGTTGGAAACATAAATCTGAGCGGATGCCCGGTCGTCGCGTTGAGGCCATCTGCATTCCGCCAGCGTGTTCTGAATAGCCGTGTGTGTGACAAATTACTGAGTCGTGCTATGCCGAGCCCGCGTGCCATCGGAGAGCGGGCCGATCACGTGGCTCACCGGATTTCTCATCTACGGGGCCCCTCACTCGCTTATTTGCGTCATGTGGGCGTGCAGTGGCTGAACCCTTTTCCCAACCCAAGGTCCCAAGCCCAAGTGCGATCGCCGAAGCACACTTAAAAACGGTTGCCCGTGATGCCTACCCCAGTGTCCCCACTCGAAAGAATCCCTGTGCCATGAAAACGACGTCTGCGCTGCTCGCTCTAGCTGCGCTTGTTGCCACCTCGGGCATCGACGCCAAACACTCCTCTGACGTTCCCTGGAACACCTCTCTATCTCCGCCCCCGTCAACGGACGCTACCTGCACCGAACGCACAGCGGCGAGCCGTTCTTCTGGCAGGCTGATACTGCGTGGGAGCTGTTCCACCGACTAAACCGCACCGACATCGACTTCTACCTACGTGACCGCGCCAGCAAGGGTTTCAATGTCATCCAGTCGGTCGTCATCTCCGAGCTCAATGGGACGACGTTCCCCAACTTCTATGGCCAGCTTCCCATATTGACGCCGACCCCACACGACCAAACGACGCGTACTTCGAGCACGTCGACTGGGCAGTAAAGCGTGCCGCCGAGCACGGAATCCTGATTGCTCTGGTGCCAACGTGGGGGATGTACATGAACTGCGGGTGGCACAATGGGCCTGTGATCTTCAACAAGACGACGGCGGAAATGTGGGGCGAGTACATTGGCCGCCGGTATCCGGGTCTCCCGAAGATCATCGGCGCGGACTCGAACGCTTTCTGGGCTTGCAATACGTCTGCTGCGCAGGATGCCTTCCGTGCCGATCCGGCGCTAGACCCCAACACATTATTGGGTCCTATCGAGGACACCCGGGATATCTGGAGCAAGATGGCCCGTGGTCTCAACACTTCGGAGGCGGCGGCGGGTTTCCAAGCATTTTACACGTGGCATCCCACCAACTCGTGGATATCAACTCCGGACACGGGCTTGCCGTACGGCCACAATGTAATGCGGCCTCTTTCGCGTTGCTCTACTACCCTTTCTGACTCATTTCCGACATAGTATATGAACGGGTCGTTCGGTCGTGTTTCGATGGATGCAGTCCAATCGGGACATAATATCCCGGATCCCAATAGCCTAGATGCTGGATTTACTCCCATCAGCGGCTGGGACAGCACCAAGAACTACGAGAACACAGCGACGATGCGGGCAGCCTTTTCGGGTCCCGTGGTCGACCTGGAGAACCATTACGAAGGCGCATTCATTGGTTTCAACAGCTCCCGGCCGCTATGGAATGACTCGGTCGTCCGTCACGGCTTGTGGTCCGCCGTGCTGAGTGGCAGCGCGGGGTTTACATACGGAGCGCATGCTATCTGGCAGTTCTACGCCCCCCTCGATCAACTCGCGCGGCCGGACCTGTTCTTGGAGCCCCAGCTTTCCCAGCCGGCCAACCAGAGCTGGCGTGATGCACTGCATTTCCCGGGATCGAAGCAGGCGGGCTATGTGCAGAAGCTGTTCGGCAAGTTGGACAAAGAGACGTTCAATGCTATGCAGCCTGATCGCTCGTTCATTGTCGACAAGGATGTTCTTGCTTTCGAGGCCAACCGGTACGTTGCCGCCTTGGTCTCCACGGATCGCTACTGGGTCTACACCGGCTTCGGTGATACCTTCACTCTTGACCTGGATAGCCTCGGGAGCCATCTGAAGGCGTCGAAAGCTAAAGCAAAAGCCCAATGGTACGACCCCCGCAGTGGACAGCACAAGCATGTCGCAGAGGGGGCGGTCTTTGCGCTGAAAGGCAACAAGACATTTGTCCCGCCGACAAGTGGTAGTGTTGACCATGATTGGGTCTTGGAGTTGCGGGCGGAAAAATGAGTGGTAAATAACGAATGTTGACGTCTAATATCTCTCCCATGTATCAACTGCTCTATGTCCGATACTGCCTGTCTTCGACGGTCACTTGATCGTTGATAGTTGTCTCGCTTTTATACGGACTCTTCGCACGTCTTACAGTTTGATTCTGGACAGAGTTATGTGTCTTCCAAGAACATCGTATCTTCCACTGTGCCATCTCTGATTGCGCCGAGGGTTGACTTACAGGCACACACATCTCTTAGCCCACAGCCCGCAGTTCAAATACGAGGTTGGACGTCCAAGAAGTCCAGAAGCCGAATACTCCCGTCGGGTTTCCGGACACTGGGACATAAAACTGTTGAAATTCGGCTCGAGAGTGGGACAGTCTGTACTGATTGGAAGTGCAAGAGATTCGTTTCTCTCATATCGTGACAAGGAGTCTGGGCCCTCCACCGTAAGAATCTGATTTCAGATCAACGTTGTTCGCTCTACAGAGCGGATGACCTCAGGCGACTGTTCGTCGAAGTCACCTGCATCCCGCAAAGCGTAATCGTAATTGCCGCGTGTGTGACAAAATTGATGAGCCGCGCCATGCCGCGCCATCTTGTGCCATCGGAAACCGGGCCGATCACGTGGAGGAGCAAGAATTCCCATTTATGGGGTCACTCCTGTCTACCTACTCTCACCGATTTCCGTCATGTGGGGTACTTCTCTCGCGTCGAGTCCGAAAACATTCTGCACACCCGACCACGATTGACGTGGGTATGGGTAACGCGCTCGAGCACTATAAATGCCTCCCTGCTACCCTCTAGATCTGAGAACACTTCTGTTCACGAGTGCCAATGAAGATAACGTCCCTGCTTCTCGCTGTAGCCGCGCTCGCAAACTCAGGTATCCAGGCCAAACAGTCTGACGTTCCCTGGAAACATCTCTCCATCTCCGCCCCTGTTAATGGACGACACCTACACCGAACAATCACCGGCGAGCCGTTCTTCTGGCAAGCAGATACTGCATGGGAGCTGTTCCACCGACTGAACCGCAGCGACATCGACTTCTACCTACGTGATCGCGCCAGCAAGGGGTTTAATGTCATCCAGTCGGTCGTCATTCCGGAACTGAATGGGACGACGTTCCCCAACTTCTATGGCCAGCTGCCCATCTTTGACGCAGACCCCACCCGACCGAACGAGGCGTACTTCGAGCACGTCGACTGGGCAGCGAAGCGCGCCGCCGAGTATGGAATTCTCATCGCGCTAGTACCGACATGGGGGATGTATGTGAACTGCGGGTGGCACAATGGGCCTGTGATCTTCAACAAGACGACGGCGGAGATGTGGGGCGAGTACATTGGCCGCCGGTATCCGGGTCTCCCGAAGATCATCGGCGCGGACTCGAACGCTTTCTGGTCTTGCAATACGTCTGCAGCTATGAATGCTTTCTTTGCCAATCCGACGCTGGATCCGAACACATTGTTAAGTCCCATCGAGGACACCCGGGATATTTGGAGCAACATGGTCCGTGGTTTTAACAAATCGGAAGCCGCGGCGGGTTTCCAGGCATTCTATACATGGCATCCCACGGGTGCATGGCGATCAACACCTGACACAGGCTTGGCATACGGTCACAACGTACTTGAGTTCTCACGAGCCCTGTTCCGTCGCCCTTACTGATTCATCCCGACGTAGTATATGAACGGATCGTTCGGTCGCCTTTCAATGGATGGAGTGCAATCGGGCCATACCATCCCGGACCCTAATACCATTCAATTCACTCCCCTTACCAGCTGGGACAGCACCAAGAATTACGAGAATACAGCAGCGATGCGTGCGGCCTTTTCGGGTCCCGTGGTCGACCTGGAGAACCATTACGAAGGCGCATTTGTAGGCTTCAACACCTCCCGGCCGCTCTGGAACGATTCGGTCGTCCGCCACGGCCTGTGGTCCGCCGTGCTGAGCGGTAGTGCGGGATTCACATATGGAGCAAATGCTATCTGGCAGTTCTACGCCCCCCTCGACCAACTTGCACGGCCGGACCTGTTTATAGAGCCCCAGATTGCTCAGCCAGCGAACCAGAGCTGGCGCGATGCGCTGAAATTCCCGGGATCACAACAAGCAGGCTATGTGCAGAAGTTGTTCAGCAAGCTCGACAAAACGACGTTCAATGCCATGGAACCTGATCGCTCGTTCATTGTCGAGAAAGACGTTCTCGCTTTCGAGGCCAACCGATATGTCGCTGCTTCGATTTCTACGGATCGCTACTGGGTCTACACTGGCTTCGGCGACACATTCAGCCTCAATTTGGATAGCCTCGGGAGCCATCTGAAGGCGCCGAGCGCTAAAGCACAGGCCCAGTGGTATGACCCGCGCAGTGGTCGCTCCAGGAATGTCACAGAGGGGGCTATCTTTGCGCTGAAAGGTAGCAAGACATTTGTTCCGCCGACAAGTGGTAGTGTTGACCACGACTGGGTCTTGGAGTTGCAGGTGGAAAAATGAGCAATAAATAATCAATGATAACGTCTGATGTGTCATTTATGTACTGATTACTCTATCCCTCATGCTGCTTGACTCTATCGTTAACTTGAGTGCGGGTTTTGGCTAGCTTTTATCTGCCCTGGAACACCTAGAGCTCGCTACGGATTCTCACATGCCTGGCAGCTTAGAGTCTTGGACTGAATATCATCATGTCGTCCTCTGAACCACTGAGCCGTCCTTCGAAAGCGCCGAGGGGTCAACTCGCGGACCTATCTCTTCACTCAGAACCGCCGAGCAAACAAGAAATTTAAAAATCTTGGAAACAGCAGCAGCTGAGCGCCGAAGACTCATCTCGGGTTTCTGGAACGATTGGAGATGCTGGCTCAGGAGCGAGAGCATCTACACTTGCTGTAAGGATAAAAGATTCGTTTTTCTCGTCTTTCTACCCGTGGAAAGTGGTCTACATCTCCCAGAGTACCTGATTATCGAAGTCACTGACCTCCGCGCTCCTGAGCGTGTTGCTAATTCAGCTAATGCCAATTGGATGATCTCAACGCTCTCGAGCGTCAACATAAAAAGCACAAGGGATCCATTCGGTCCTAGTCGAAAACTCCCTACAAGTAATCGAAGAGACGAAAGGATCAGGTGATACACAGAGCATTTTGTATTAGCATAAGTAAGATCGGGGAAGTGAACCTCGGACAAAAATCCTCATCCTCACTGCGGAACCTCCGCGTGTATAGCTTCCATCAGGTCTGTTGCTGCTTTGGCAGTAGCGAGTCGCAGATTGTAATGCGTTGTGTGGCCTCTCTCAAGGACGCTGATGCGCAGATATCGAGGGTCCTGGGCCAGCGCACATTGCATACCTCGGAAGAGCGTCACGTTGAGAAGCAGCGTGTATACAGCTTCCTTGCGCATAACTGCATAGAGAGAGTCAGCGGAGACTGCGGCAAGATGCGATCGTGAGCACACACTCAATCTCGCTCCACCGTGGTCAGATTGTCTAACGTTCAGCTTGAGAGTCCCCGTTCCCCGCTCTTTCCAAGCCGATTCCTCGTCCAACATGAACAGCTTCCCGCGAACTTGATGGACAGTATGTTCATTCTCCTCACCAGTCATCACTAAGAGACCGTCATTTTCTGCGATGCAGTGCCTTCAAGTCAGAAATGCGTACCATCCTGCTCCGTCAAGACAACTTTAGCATCCTCGTCGCTCTTGTCTTCCTCTTCATCCTTCCCTGCTCTCAGGATCTCGCCAAACGTCGCTGATCTCTCGTCCCGCTCGTCCTCCACCCCGTTTTCAGCAGCCCCGTTCGAATAAGCCGACCCAGGGATGCTCGCATTGTCATCCGGTGTCTCAGAACGCCCTGCTTTGCCTGGAAGCGCGAAAGAGGTGATTCCGCCACTTGCATACGCTGAAAACGCATTGACTGCCGCCGGATTAGCCCGCCGGGTCGGTGACTTGGCACGAGCCAATTTGGACGGCGTGCCGAGAACATCTTGCTTAGCTTTCATAGACGCTCCGAATGGCGAAGAGGACATTCCAAAGACGGGACGCTTGGAGGTCGACGACGACGACGAAGACGACGGCGACGGAGTTGGTGCAAATGAAATCGGAAGCGAAGCCGATTTCGCGCTGAATGCGGACGTATTGGGAACCATTGGAGCTGCTGATGCGAATGACACCGGGGTGCCGCTTTTCTTGAACAGATTTTCTCCTTTTACACCAGCGAATGGAGAGCTCGTGGAGGCATAAGCCATAAATCCGCCCTGTGACAGATAGAGCTTAATTTAGCACACAAATATATGGAGGAGAGTGCAAGCAACACACCAGTTTGGGCGCTGGGGCAGCAAGCACAGGCGAAACTCTCTCTTGCTCTGGAGGCGGTGTGGGTCTCTTGGTCTCTCGAGGATTCACGTCTTTGTCGGGGTCATCTCTAGGCCGTTTGAGTGGCTCCGTAGACGCTTTGGATTCTTCACTGCTTTCCTGGGGACCGGCGCTAGACCCTCGCTCGAGGAACGTACGCTTGAGGCCCTTTTCGCGTTCGCCGTTGTCTGACATTGAGTCTCGTCGCGAAGATCTCGCGCTCGTCGTCGTCTGCGAAGACTCGTTGGGCTTGATCTCCATCGCATCTTCCGTCGGCACCGGAGGAGTGCTCTTGGTCGGGCCAGATTCGTCGCCCTCGCCGTCAACACCCGCAGATGTGTCCTCCATCGGGTCTTCAGGCACAGCCGTAGGTTGGGGTTCCATTTTGTCGCCGCCATCGCCCGTTTCCCCACCAGAGTGTATGTTCTTCCAGCTGAGGTCTCCAACACCCTGGCTAATCTGACGCACGCGAATCTTCATCTCCTGGGGAGGAGACACGGTCATCGCACCCACACCCGGAGATGACGATCTCGACCGGCCCGCTCCAGAGCCCAACACGTCATCCTCCTCCTCAACAGGCGAGCTCAGTTTGCGCCGGCTCTTGCGCGCTGGTGTGCGGATGTCTGCCTTGCCTGACGCATCGTTGATGTTGTCCTGTGAGAAAGGAACGTTGTGCGTCATGCTCGGTGCAATTGACTCCATCGTCCAAGGGATATGAGCTTACCATGGATGTCTGGGGGGTGGTCGCCGGCTCGAGGGACACTTCCCGTTCCCGTTTTCGCGAGGTCTTCGTATCTGGATGGAGAGTGCATGGCGTGAGCGCAGGTTATCCAGATATTCTGCCAATAGCTTGACCTGGATCTGAGTTTGTGGGAGATGGGGGAGCGATGGATGAAGAATCCAACTGGGGCTTAGTCTCCGTCGGGTGAGGAGAGGAATCGCGAGATTCTGGCCCCGACATGGTGGGTCGTGGTATTGTTTGAAGAGTTGATTGTTTGTTGCCTTTCTCGGCGATTTTTGATTTAGCTTCGGCAATGCGGCTAGGAGCTTGAGAGATGTTACAAGCGATGCTACGCGCCTACACCCGTCCATGTATGGAATGTATCCGTAGTGTAGTAAAGATGCATGCAATAATAATACAGACCCTAAGATTAACGAGAGCGAGGTAAATAAGATATGCCATATCAAGTCGGTGGTGGGGTTTCGAGCTGACTTTTTCGCCTTCTGTCTGCGAGCTCCAACATTTTGCGTACATCAGATTGATCGATAGGTTTTGTCAAGACACTGTGAGGCAGTCAGTTGGTGCTGCAAGGTGATGGCTAGCATCACTCACTGGTCAACCCCTGCTGCCAAATACTCTTCCTGATCTGTAGGGGACATCAGTTATCTCCCATTGTCAGCTGAGAGGATTCAAACCTGAGAGTAAAGCATTGCCTGAAGAAGATAAATCTAACGAAGATGACCAAGATGGACACAGCAACGCACCAGTAACTCCAACGACGAAGTCTCGTCTTCCCCATTCGCGTAACTTGGCCACTGCGGTTATGCCACTGACCAGAGGCATTTGATTATCTGTTCGGAAGTTTACTTGACGAGGGGATGCAAGGATCGGGGAATATACCTAGGAAGATGATATGGAACTTCTCTTCCGTGGAATCTGAGTCCGGGCGCCCAAGAATCGGTCCAAGGGTATTGCTACTCGTGGTAGAGCCTTCGCTGGCAGGAGTAGAGACAGCTCCGATGGCAAGCAAAGCCGCATAACCGTTCTCGGCGAGCTCAACCGTACAGCCCATTCGAAGCAGCAGCCGTTTCATCAGACTGCGAGTGACAAAATCGTCATCGACGACAAGCACAGTCAGGCCTGGATCAAACGGCAGCGCGGAATTGGATGAAGGAGTCGGAATACCCTGGAATTGCGTGTCGAATTGGGACAATGGTGACGACGACGTGCTTGCTGCAAGAGTCGACTTCGCCACCGTTCCCGGAATCGATCGACTGGGCATGGGAAGATAGGTGGGCCGTTGGAAGCCCGTGTCTCGGGGAGGAGCTGGTTCAGGAGTCGTGTCTGTCAGGGAGACCTGCTCAGCGGAAAGAACAGAACCCTCGAAGAGCGACGAGGACAGAGGCTTCAGCTCATGGGCAGAGGAGGTGTCGTCGGCGCCCGTATGATCGGGTGGGACATGGTTCAAGTTCTGAGTCAACGTCTCGCTCGAAGTTTGTGCGATTCTGAGCTCGACTTTACCGCCTTGTTCCATAATGTTGTGCATGGCCGTGCTGGACCTTTCCAGCGGAGGTGCAATCTTGGATGCTTTGGCGGCAGCACAGTCAACAGCCGCGACTAGGCTCTTTTTCGTGACTGAAACTACAGTATTCGTCATCGCAGCGTTGCGCACTTTGATCAGATCAGGGTCTGTCGAAGAGTGGTCGGATTCCATATCCAGTGGGATGAGGGCTTCCCGTCCAACTCCGAGCGGGACTTCAACCCAGAAGCAGCTCCCCTCTCCTGCTTTGGACCGAACACCCAGCCGTCCTCCACTGAGCTTGATGATCTGTCTGACCAGCGCTAACCCCAGTCCCGTGCCCTTGCCGCCCTGCTGCTTTCCCTGTTCGGTCTGATTGAAGGCAGCTAATCGCTCGATTAGACTATGACTGGCAGTGTCTTGAGACAACTCACAAAAGAGATGAGCCTCTTCCATATCCCGCTTCGATATGCCACACCCAGTATCCGTCACCTCGACGCGAACGACGATGTGCTTCAGCTCGCATAGTGGATCTTCTCCATAGGCCAAATTGTGCTGGCTAAGATGCGAGGCGGATAGAGGATCTCCATTTCCGATTCCAGAGAGTTTCGGTGCGCTCTCCAGCTCGCTGACGGGGGTGAGAGGGCCTTCCATCGCCGCAACCTCTTCGGGAGTCGGATGGACCAACTTGGTGTTTATGCGGATAGTGCCTCCTGGCGGCGTGAACTTGGTCGCATTACTGTTTTTCCATCAGCTGCCAGAAACACCGGAGAAATCAGAAAGCACCTTGCGAGATTAGTTATGACCTGTCGCAATCGGACCTGATCTCCAACCAACACGCCAGCGACATCTGGACTCTGTTTCATGTGGGCACGCACGATCTCAGGGCTCTCGCCCATCGCTTGATAAGCAGCTCTTCGTGCCACCTAATTGCATGTTCATCTTGAGTCCTCAGTGACGGCCGGAAGAACATACCTTGTCGATATTGGGATCGAGTTCATGAACAAACTGTTGACCGCGCTCGTTCGTGGCCAGTTGCTGATCGAATAGGTCAGTGGCACTGCCTCGGGACCGAAAATGACCCACCATGGGCAAAAAGAGAGAACGGATCGCATTATGGAATGCGAATGGCTGAAGAGAAATCTCAGCAGTGGTCTCAGATGCTCTCATGATTGCGCACCCGGCGGGACACTTCGAATGTGCCACTGTCCATCCGATTGCTGGAAAGCCATGAGCAATTGCTGCTAGCGCCGAGAGGAATTAGATCTCACAAGTCCAATACATCGTTGAGCACGTTGCGCATCATGTTGAGGTTATCATTGAGAGCATGCAGTTCGAATTCGTGGTCCCCAGTCACAATCCCAGCCGAATTGAGATTCTGTACCGCTAGCACTGCGTACGGTGAGCATTGTGAACCAGAGCAGATGGAGTCACGTACAAGCAGCATTCAAGGGCACTCGGACCTGTGCAGAGATATTCAATAACGTGCCATACCTAGAAAGTAAAGAAGAAAACTTATCATGGAAGACGTATCTACAAGAGTCAGCGTTCGTTCTGACCCTGAACTTGTCGACTCACGAGGTAAGACGCCTTTTAGAATCCCATGCCTTGCGCTCGTTGATCTGGGCAGCCTGTGTTGCCTTGAATTGGATCTTTAGTTGATTTCGGAGTGTGAACAACCGCCGGTCAGCCTTGAGCATAAGTTGTTAGACGCATATGATAGAAATAACAGGCGAGGTACCATCTCCTTCATATAATGGGCATAAACAAGGACTGCATTTGGTCAGTTACAAATGGAGGTGGGACGGTCAGTCTTACAGATGCTGAAGACTAAAAAGTTGATCAAAGCTGATATACCAATGTCAGATTAGGTCACATTGAGAAACAAAGCACCTGCCTCGGACGAAACGAGGGCGCAAAGGTGCAACTGTCACACAGGCACTAGTGACGGGAAGGTGAGAAGCAGGAGCAGAGAGAAACAGAGACAAGTCGAGCGTACAGGATGAAGAAAAACAATGCACCGATGGTCGTGCACAAGCGTTGCGCCCTCAACCCAAACATTCCGATGACTTGCAGAGCAGTGGTGTAATAGAACATGCCTGAATTGACATGAGAGGACTGGATACGGAATGAGGGAGACAGGTGGCACCGATGAAGTCTTTGGTTCCACAAGAGAAGTGGGAGTTTAGTGGATCATAATACCCGCATAACCACCTAGGTTTATGAGCGTTCCTCTCAGAGGTTTGATGCAAAAAGCTCACACGGTGAGAATATAATACACTGCCCACATCCAAAGAGAGAAGCAAATGTACGTCTGATAGACAACAGGATGCTTTTGAGGCCAGTCGAACGCGACAAGAAAACTAGGAAGGAGGGTTAATATTGTTGAACTGGTAGATGAATATCAAGGACCCACATAACAGGCACGCTGAAAATTGGTCCCACGCCATACAAGAATATATCGTCGAAGGTCACCCGTGGCGTGGATGTAAACGCACACCCGAGAATCCAATTAAGGATTAGCCACACTGCTGACCAACGGGCCAATGGTTTGCTGTAGCTCCAATCCTCCTGATCGAAAGATGAACAGAGCACTCGCCTGAAAGCCATATGTAACTCACCCGGCCGTAGTTCCTTTCGGCTTTCTCATCGGGGAATTTGGGACTAAAGAAATGGAGAACAAGACGTAAGATCGACCACAAGATGGTCGGGAACGAGCCCAGGAATTTGCCCTGCGGCTGCCAGCCCTCTTGAAACGGCATGGGAGGGACTGCGGGCAAGCTTGACTTGGTTCGTGGGCTGTGATCATCCAAGTCGTCATTGACAGAATTCGGGCTGTGAGAACTACAGTTCCAGACACGGTCTACGACGATGCGGTCGACCTATACGTGCAACACAGACGGCAACGTTCATTGTCAAAGACAATGTGAGAATCAGGGCACGTACTCTGTCGGGATCGCCGGTCCCCTCATCTGCCCCAGCCGTCAATACCGATTGCCCAACACTACTCGCCCTCCTTTCTGACGACGATAATGACGGACTCGATACTGTCCCAAACCTCCGTTTGACGTTCGACCACAGGCTACCCAGCACTCCATGCGTTCCAAAGCGTGTTGTCTTCTTGACCGGTCGACTTCGTTTGCTGCTCACGGACTTGGCTGCTGTAGCGGTCACAGGGTAGGGAAGAATCGTTTCCATTGGTGTCCCCTCGAGCGAAGTTAATTTCTTGGTCGAGACAGTGCTGTCGTATTCGTGGACGACGAAACCCATGCTTGGAAGACTGAACTCAGTCTCGAGCCATGGGAGGGCTGAGTGAAGAAGCCGAGCCTTGACAGACAGGTATCAAGCCAAGCGACTTGAATCACCCGGTTAGAGTGTCTCATCAATCCACCTGTCGCCGATGGTCAAACAGCTTGAGAGTTGCAATGTGCGAAGAAATGAACCGCAAACACGCTAGGTGTGCGCACGGGTCAGAATCAATAAGACGTAATTAGCAAAGTTAATACATAATGAGGCTCGCCGGCCCCGATGTCATCTACAGAACTAGTCTTGCACTGCACTCACAGTACCAAATGTATGCACATGCCCCACAACAACGAGTAGAGGAGTAACTCCAAATTGGTTTTCTTGCGAACGCAAGCGCAGGCAAGGAGGAAGGGAAGGAAGAGAGCAAGGGGGAGAAACACAGACTGTACCATTTATGGCTCGGTGAATGGTGATAGACAGGCCGAAACCAAGCAATCCCCAGAAGAATGTACAGCAGAACATCTTGTCAGCGGTGCGTCATCCTTCGCACCATGTGCAGTCATTTTCTTGGCCAGATTGAGAAGGAGAGTAGGCCAGGCACACGATCGTTTGAGAAGATACGCACTTCTGCGTAACCTGAATATAATCGAGAGGTAGACTCTACTGTTCCCGAATAACATTCATGACCAGTCGACTCATCCACATACAGGTCAATGGAGTCATCACGGAGGTCATGCATTGGAAGTGGGGAGTAGAAACAAGCGTGGGTCACTACCGTGACAGGGTGCGCTTGACACGTTCCGAAAAAGGCAATTGTGCTCGATGATCCAATGCTGAAGTTCGCGGAAGTTCCCAGCTGTGAACATTGTCACGTCGTAAAATTCACAATGATATCAAAGAGAGACAATGCTGTCGCATGGGGGAAGGTGTATAAAAAAACAGAGGTAGGGCATGCGGCACAAGCGCCAGCTTTGGCAGGATCGTCGGAGTTTGAATACTTGGGCATCTCATCTCTTGTTATACTCGCCCATCTCATTCCCGCTCCATCTGTTATTCATACACCCCCACAATATTCCTTCTTCTGCTTTCGCCCTTGTTTATTTCTCGTCCCCTGCGTTATTTTGGTCCGGCCAGCTGTCATCCCGTGACCCAGCACAAATCGACAGACAAGCATGGCCTTCCCCGTGTATCTCAAGAACGGGGATGAGGTTAAAATAAACGGTATCTTATCTCAACTGCCCTATATGCGCTCATGCTGTGGAACCCTGACTTTTATTTTACAGACCACGTCTACTGCTCACCGCCCTGGGCGGTGCGTGACGGCACACCCTACTCAGTAGCTCGCATAATGGAGTTTCTACCACCAGAAGACACGCCAAAGGGTGCTGATGGCCAATACTACTTATACAGCCGCGTGCGCCTCGCGTGGTACTACCGTCCGAGCGACGTCAGCGACCGCCCGGTAACAGACTCGCGCCTACTTCTGGCAGCGATATATTCGGAAGTGTGCGATATCAATCAGCTCCGGGCGAAATGCTATGTCGTGCATCGAGACAAGATATCTGATTTGTCGGGGTGGAAGAAGAGACCGGACAGGTTCTACTTCAATCGCTTATTTGATCCCTACATCAAAAAGGAATTCGAGATCATTCAGGCGACCGATGTTCGAAACCGTGGGTTCAAGAGTTTCCACTCGGGCTGATTCTGACTGCAGCCAGTGCCGGATAACATTAGGGAGGTACTCACATCCCGCTACGAATATGTCGTGGCAGAAAAGGAAGTCATTCCTGATCTGACCGACGTATTACGACTATGCGACACCTGTGAGGTTTGGTGCCCCAGGTGATTACTCTGACCACCTGCGGTGACTCTTATTGACCTTTGCTTAGTCAAGACTCAGTCCAATGTGACCGCTGCAAACGTTATTTCCATATGCGGTGTGTCCAGCCTCCGCTCGTAGCCAAGCCATCACGTGGTTACGGATGGACTTGCGCGCCTTGTTCAAAACGGCACGAGGAGGAGGTCGACAACAGGGAAGCCCGGCCGATCTCTTCTAAGAAAACGAATGCTCCACCTGCAAGAAGTCGGGGACGACCGCGGAAGGACAAGACTCAGGCCGATAGGGAGGAGAAGCTGGCCATCAAACATTTCCGGATGTGGCCTTTTCGGTATTTTGGGTTAGTTTGCTTCCCGATGAGCAGTTGGTTCGTGGGCTAATGCTTTAGCAAGGCAGTATACCGTTGCTGAGGATACTCTGGGTTAGTCCTTATGGTGCATGTACCATGGATCATCGCTCAAAACTCCCTAGATCCAGAAGACTTGATCTTCCCCCGCGCAGCCACGCGGTTGGGCCTCAAGTTCCAAGCGGTCGTACCTGCATCATCCGACATTGCCATGGATGTTGATGAGGTGCCTGAGAGAACAGAGCAGGACGAACGAGGAGGAGAAAACACTATCGAAGTCCTCAGCATCATCAACACTTTGCGTGAAAGCGAGGGTGAGTTCGTCGTGTGATCATGGCATGCAATATTGAGTATCTTCAGTCTCAGCCAGTAAGCGTTACCGAAGCTTTCGTCTCCGAGCTTTAAGACCTTACTAGTCGAGACACACAAGAAGACGCTCACAACGGACAAGAAGCTCTCCAGTTCCGTGGATTGGTTGACAGAGGTGATTCACCGATTCACCACTGCTGTGCTACTCGAGCGACCACTTTCTTCCGTGGACATGAAGTCGCCGATGGGAACCCAGAAGGTGCGTCGACTGCGTCAAGCTGAGATGATGAACTGATGTTTCTATCACTCAGTGGAAGCGATCTGAGACTCGGTATATAGACAAAGATTGGACGCCAGAGGAAGTCGCCGCCTTCGAGGACGGCATTGCTGCTCATGGGGCTGAACTTAGAGCGGTTCGAGAGGAGATAGGGACCCGAACGATCTTCGAAGTGGTTCGATTCTACGGATTGTGGAAGAGGTGCGTTGGCCAGCAGACCAGGATCGGTAGCAACCTCATTCCTTCTTAGCACCAAACTCGGAGAAGAGAATGCGGCCATTCGGGAGCACGGCAGACCAAGTAGACCTCTCGGGCGAAAGCATCAGAACCCGGTAGAAGCTGCGAACGGGCAGCGGGTGGGATTGGCAGACGAAGAGGCGTCGGTGATCAGCAATCCTAGCAAGGCCCCGACGTGTGGCGCATGCCGAACTCGGGAGTCAAAGACTTGGTGGAAAGCCCCAAAGGGCCTGTCGACGAGTGTGCTTTGCGACAGCTGCGGGACGAACTGGCGCCGATATGCTGATCTCAACGTGCGTGCGATGGTCCGGGAGGAATCTGTGCCGGCCCAGCCGAAGAAACCTGTCCTGGACAAACGGGAAGGAACCCCTTTGACCGCACCCGTAACCAAGCGTGCAAGGGTGCGTCGGCCATGCTTTTCTTCTTTTACTTTTTGGCAAGCTTGACATTTTTTTTTGATCCAGACATCTGCTTCGGCGCACTCAACATCACCACCCGCGGTCTCAACGGCACCTCAGCTGCGATGCATGGCGTGCCATAAGAACGGCGCACTAGGCAAAGTGATTAAATGCAAGCAATGTCAGTTCCGATGTCACGCCGGCAGCTGCGGAGCTGTCGTTGACCCGGACTCGCTGGATTCCTGGCTCTGCGACGTGTGCCAGAATGAGGCATCGCAGGAGGCAGCGCTTGACGCTGTGTGTCTATTATGCCCGCGGCAGATCGGAGTGAATCCGCCCGATTCATTTCTGCAGGCGCGGAAGCCTACCGAAGGACAAGGGTGGACGCACGTGCTGTGCTCTCTATTCATCGGGGATCTTCAATACACAGATGCTGCCAGACTTCGCTGCGTGGAAGGCGTCAGTGCGATTCCACTGCATCGCTGGGATTCGGTGGGTAACAATTTCTTCAATCAGAGGAATGGCACTCATGCTAAGCACAGAGATGCTCATTATGTGGCATTGTGCAAGGGGTCACCATCAAATGCTCCGATTGCAGTACATTATATCATGCTTCCTGTGCCTGGCGCCAAGGCCACAAGTTCGGCTTCGAGATCAATCCCGTCGGTGTTTGCTAGCAGGACCGCTGATTTATTCTCTGATATCCCCATCCTAGGTCAAAGCCAATCGTCGAGATACTACGACGGTCGTGACCTTCCGAGGTGAATCGGGGAGTATGACACCAGTCGTGTTGTGCAAAGAACACGACCACAGCAAACGCAGCATTTATGGGTTCTGTCAGACCAGTGAGGGCGGAGAGGTGCGTCGCAAAGTGGTTGTCTTCCTCGGCCTGACCTGATTTTGCACGTTGTAAGACTGCGCTGCAAGTCTACTCTCGCGCCTACAAACAAGCGCCCATATCCCAGGCGCACGGTCTTCTTCGGAAGGCCCGTCGTCTGGACACGTTGCTCGCCAGTCGCAACCAAGCCTCCGCTCTTCTGTACATAGAAGAACCACGCACTGGGCCGGCTGATCCCGAGTGTTACCGGTGTCACACGCAGTATTCGCCTTTGTTCTATCCCGTGAAAGCACCTGGGGGCGATGCTTTCGTCTGCCATACGTGTCATTTTGGAGAGCAGGAAACCGGGGCTGTTGAACGTAAGGAGAACGGGCTGGCTAATGGACATCGCGTGGAGGACGTTGATGTCGTCATGGTTTCTGATTAGGTTGGAATTGCGTCGCATTATCTTGTTATTTCGTAGCTGCTTTCTGTATCATGTATGTACTTCCTTGAACGGAATGAGCCATAGACCACAATTGTATCCCGTCGGGTCAAGTGACGTGCGAACTTTCTGCTGGCTCAGATCGTCTCGTCTACATTCCAATGTGCGTAGTAAATACAGATGGGTGCTTAATGGATAGCGAATAGGTTGTGACAGTAAAGGTTGCAGTTGTAAAATATACCATAAGATATCCGTTCCCCAATCTACGGCGTGTTCTTCACCCGTTTGTAGAACAGAACGTAGGCACGTTGGTTCTGTGGCGTGAGATGGATCAGACATAAAAAAGACCGTAGATGGCATAAAAAGAGACGCACAACGACCTGTTTCTCGTCCACGGACCGGATACTGCTGTCGTCACAGGATTTCCATCCATCCCGGTCAGCAATAAATGCCGTGTCTGTTTCCACGATCAGTGGCCGGAACGGAATCGGAGAGACGAAAACGAGAACGCACAATGACCGCTGGTGAGGTTACCCGTGTGGTTTGTCACTGCGTACAGATTGTACTTGTACGGCGGAAGCTGGACCCGAGGATCATCCGAGCTCATGGGCATCCCGCCATTGAGCTGGCTCTTGTCTGCACCCGGAGGTAGCGGCGGCGGCATGAAGTTGGTGAGGTCCAGCGACTTGACTGGATAATCGACGAAGGTATCGATCTTGTCCGAAAACCGGCCATGGATCTCGAAGCGTTTCAAGTGGATCACCAGGATCGGGGGAAGCCGCGCCAGAGACAACTCCTTCGTGGCACGCCTTTTTGTTTTGCACTTGGGGCAGTCCCTGCGAAGTTGTCAGCCAGGTGCAGTTCCCCATGAAACGACACACTGCGCACCAGGCATCGTCCTTGTCCATGATCTCCCGGTTGAAGAAAGCGTCGATACAGCTCTGCAGCGGGACCTTGGAGCCTCTGCCAGTCGGAATCGGCAACTGCAAAATCGAGAACACGTTGTACGTCGTCGACGTCGTGCTACACGTTGAGCATTGCAGCCGGTTCCGGAACTGGCCCTGGAAAAAGTCGACGATGAGGCTGTCGTTTCGAGTTTTCCAGAGCCTCCATTCTTGTTCGCTGGCAATCTGCGGACTGAGGCGCTCGAGTTCGGCTTCCTGCTCTGGCGTTCGAGTGAACGTTGGCTGGATGAGCAAGCGGTTCAAATCTTCGTGGATGCCGTCCAGGAGGAAACTGAGGAACTCTTGTGAGTCGTGCTGATTTGAGCCATTGTACTGGCTGTTCAAGTGACAAACAGTTTTCTGAAGCGAAATGAGAATGCAACATACAATCGATGAGTCAAAGCCTCACCCTGAATTCTACGGGGATGATATACGGTAGCTCGCCGCTCCACATGGATCGAACCAGATTCGCAAATGAACCAGACAGAAGTCCTTTAGAGCCATGCGGGTTTACTGTATTCACTGCAGTCTTCCAACGCCCATCTGTTGCTCGTCAGAACTGTAAACGTGTAAATGCTGCTTGGCCACCCACTGGCAAAGAACTGTGCGAATGGCAGACTCGCACTCAGACACTGAATCGGCGCATTCATGTAACAGGTGTTGCCCAGATTCTTGAGACCCGAGGTGCCGATAGAAATGTCGGACCAGTACGTCGGCGCATAATCAGAATTGATTCTTGGCACGTCGGACGAAGGCGGATTTGAGAGCGTCGTTCCGCGCGGTCGTTCTTGACGTTCCAAAGCGGATGATGCCACCGCGGGCGGCGGCCGAATGAGATGCTGCTGACTGGGGTAATCCAGCGGCCGAAGACTCGACACGGCTTCTTGCGACTGGTCGATGTAGTCGCTTCGGCGGCGGGAAAGTGTCGGATTGATTGACGCCTGTGGTGGAGACATGATAGGTGGTGGACTGCTGACCGAAGGGGAGTTGCGCGACGAAAACGACGGATAGGCGATCGGGGAAGACGTCCCTGAAAAAGTCTAACATGATGGTCAGCTCAGCTTCAGCCATTGCAGAAACGCCTCACAGATTCAGGAATAGTACCGAATGGACCACCGGAGGGCGTCGGTCGTAAAGGCGGCTTTCTCACAGACGTTGGGCATGATATCTCTGCAGGTGACCGTGAATGTCCGATGGACTGGTCTACAGAGAAATTGGGTCGATGCCCCAGATGAGTCGGTGATGGAGTCGGAATCGGATTCGTGTCTGCCCTGGACCGCGGTGTCCACAATTGGTGCTCAGAGGCGCTCGTCGTCATCGTTGCCGAGCCCGAATATCCGTTGACCGTGGCCGAGCTCACATAGCCGCTGACACCATTGGTCGAGGAGAACCCATTCGCGATCGAGGACGAACTCGAGAAAGTCACGGGAGACGGAGCAGCGAAGGCGCCCTCCCCGTTCGTCGATGTTGTCCGAGAGAGAGTTGATAATGTGGAGCTCGTCACCTCATTGTCTCCGATGTCCCTCCTCCAGGCATCCAGTCCCCCGATCAAGACCATCGGCATCCTCTTCAACATCTTTGTGAACGCCTGCTCGCTGATCAACCTGACGAGGATCGCCATGGGAGCCGACGGTGGACCCAGAGACTGAGACGACTGATCATAGACAACGATGAGATCAAACTTGTCCCGGTTCTTGAACATGGTTGTTTCATTCGTTGGTGCACTGGCCATGCTGTCTTCCAGCCGGTCCGCCGTCAACCTACCGATGTCATCAGTGCTGCCAAGAAAGCCGCGAAACGCATCAGACACGTACCCTGCCCTTGAGAGGACAACCGGTTCGACGCAAACGATTGCGTCGGTCTTAATATGCACTTTTTCAAAGTCAGCTCGGTTGCGCACATCCAGAAGGAGGACTTTGTGATCCCGGAGGTAGGCGTATAAATCTTTGGGGAATGCCGAGCCGCTGTTCGGCAGCGCGGGCTTCGGGATCGCAGAGGACAACGCAGACGGTTTGACTGGAATCGGAGGTCTGCTGGGCGACGGCGGCCGGCTGACGAATGCCGGGAGGCTGGGGGTGACGGGGGTACTTGACGGCCGTTCGATCGGTAGATAGTTGCGGAACGACGGTGACGACGACGACGAGGCCGCTGTGTCCGCGAGTGTAGTCAGCTGTTCTCTGGTACCCGACCCAGTGGAGCCAGATCCGGTGGATATGCCGGTGTTCACCGAGGGGAGCGCAAACGTCTCATCGAGTTCCGAGATCGACGGGAATTTGGCTTCCGTGCTCGAGATGCTGAACGTGCGCAGCGGCGCAGCAGGCCCATGGGGAACAGATGGGAGTGTGTGTATTAGTGGTTGGAGAGGAGAAGACGAGGGTGTCGATGTGGGCGAAGGAGGTCCAAAAGAATGTGGGGAAACTAAGGCGTGAGGCGACGAGGAAGTGGATGGTGGAGCTGATGGTGTTGAAAGCGAAAGTGCATTCATGTTCAACGATATCGGCGACTCGAGTCCGGAGAGTGCTTTGAGGGCCGTTGCCGGAGCTGGGGGTTTGCCTGCCGGTTGCCCTCGCCTGGGAACATCCCCGAGAGCCTGCAATCCATTGTTCTTCAACGCCTGTATCCTGTCTTGGATGGACACTGGGCCTGTCGTTTCCTCACTCTTCTCCTTCTCCTTCTCTATCGCTTTCAGTTTCTCCTCTGCAGCTGTCATATGACTAGATATGTATTGAATGGGATTGCGCTGAGGAAGAAACATTGATTTTGACGGAGACTGAGATGACAAGGCACACTCACCTCAAGAAAGTCCCTTGCTTCCTTGTGTACCACACCATGCACCCCTTCCTTCTTGAATTCTGTCGAATCCATGACTGTCTGCACAAGCGTAGCGCACTTCGTAAACGCAGCCAGTGCATTCCGTAAATCCCCTTTATTCTCACATTCAGTCGCAGAAGCGATCTGGGTTCCGGCCATTCTGAGAAGGCTCAGAGGAGCAGCACCCTTCGTCTCTCGTTTGACGACCTCTATCGAGTGGGTTTTGATTTGCGCAGCCGTCATGGAATCCAGGTGCCTTGCGATGCCATTCTGAGTACCGTTATTTGATCTGCGAGGTGCCCCGAATCCCCCGAGTCCTGGTGATGTAGGAGGAGCAGATGGTCCGCTAAGCATGAGCGAAGCGGCTGCGGATAAAGCGCACTGGAGTGCGAGAGCAAAGCGGCGAGTAGTGATGACTAAGCGCTTTGCAGTGCCACGGCCCGCAAGGTGGCTCTCTCCACCCCTCTCGTCATCTCATTCGGCGGACTCGACTGCGGCGCAGAACGAAGGCAGAACTGAATATCACACTCCAGAGCGTCTACATATTGGAGAAGGGTTCAAGTAGCATAAGCCGTCGAGTTTCCGCACACGGGCGTCGACATCTGCTGGGCAGGAGAAGCCGTGCATTCGAATGAAAGCCAATCGGGCATAAAAATGCACTTTCTAGAACTCTGCTATGAAAGAGAAGCCGTTCCCAGATGCAATGAAGGCTGATCGACTTCGTGAACCAAAGGGAATTCTCCCGTTGGAACGCGAGCCCGACGAGGTTAGTGCTTTTTACGAGACCGAAGCCTTTTAGAAATTGGCGGCGGTACATACATATGTGTGCGAGTCGTAAATGATGGGTTCACGCATAAGATGCGTTTCTCCCTTCTCGTTATCCTGTCCACCGTCTGGCTCGTGTGTTCCGTGAAGGTGGGAGCAACGCAAGTGAGTAGAATTGATTTCTTGCTCTGTCACGGGTCTGAATCTGACCTTGTCAACCCCAGACACCTCGATGCGAGCCTTCGTTCTGCCATGGCACCAAAAATAGCCCACATCATCATGACTATCTATGCGGTGATGAACGACTGGGTCCCAAGCATCTTCCTAACACATCACACTGGGGCCAACTCCTATACGGCTACAAACGATTTGACGGTCTTTGCCCAGCCGAGTTCCTGGCCAAGTGGTACAGAGACGGAGAATATCGGCTCCCACGCGCTGACGGCTTCCAACAATCGACAAAACGCAAGCCGATTGCGGAAGACCAGGTTCTGGATCGGGGGATGCTCGTGGATTGTTTTGGAACCTTGTACGAAACATACCTGTCACCCGCCGGAACACCGTTCTCTCTCCGCGCCCTTCCACCGTCGAGTCTCAACACGCCCACGTACGACGATATCGCCCTGTACAATTATCGCATCTTCAGAGTCGAGTACCCATTTGTGGTCAAGTCTGGACCAACGGCCCCCTTCTACGAACAGCCTGGCCAAGGCACAGTGTATCGGACGACTGCTACGATAGATATGCTCATCAGCGGTGGTTTCCTAGCCAGGGTGGGATGAATTCAGGGAGCGTTTCAGTCACCTACACAGTTCTTGTTGTCGTTTCTGGAAATGCTCTTTCACAACACCAACATTCGATACGACGTAAGTAGTGCCGGGCGGTGCTGGGAATTTCTTCTGCGCAGTCAGCGCAGCATCCTGCTCCCTTGCCGCTATCGCGGAAAGAACTCCTCTGGATTCTCTGCCACAGACATTCAGGAGAGCATCGTCGGTGTCATTGATTTCCATGTTATATTCTAGCCGTCCGAAAGCAGATCAAAGCCGATCGACGGAGAGAACCAAACGACTGGCGCAACGCGTAGCGGAGTAGCCCAATGGCAGACTGATCACTCGGATGATGAAGGCAAAGTAAGCACTTCGCTTTACTCTTATGATATGAGCGGGTTCCTGCGCTTGCCCTTTTACCCTGTATGGGCTCAGAGCCATAAATGGGGTGGTTTAGGCGAAGGCACTTGCAAGAGAAAACGAGCAGTCCACGCATTCTGTGCTATTTGCCAACACTGCGGATCGGGATCGCGGTAGGAGAGAATGAGGTACCTGATCCGGCTCACCACTCTCTCACAACAGTTAGTGGGCCAATTCATCGGCTAGAACTCTAACGGCGTTAGAGGCATCGAGTGCCCCATATGCGTCATAGATTCCGGAGAGGACAATTACAGACCCCAGTTGTGTCCGGACGGCATAGTATGCTAATCTAAAAGACAGACTGATATTCAACCACTGGATCTGGCTTAATCTGAGATGGAGAGTATCCGTACTGCCATCCTGGTCCATCAAGGGGGATTCCAAAGGCTACCAAAACCCAATGCCGTAAGTAATCTTTATCCAAGCGTTAGGATCGGGAAGTCGAAACGTGAACTTTGATCCGAGCCTCTGAAAGTCCGAGACCAGAAACAAGCCGGAACGACAGGCAATGTATAAATAGGAATGGGCTTGGTCTGTGCATGATATGAGTCTCATATCCAGTCCTTTTGAGCACGCATCAGCATTGGCGTTAGCCGCCTAGTGATAGCCTGCCTGCGAATTGCGTTGACGAGGTTGACGAAAACTCCCGTCTTTTCCGTGGAAGAGAATCAAGGACCGAAAAATGACAAGCTGAGAAATTCAAGCCAGTCTCAAACAGAGTTTGAATTATACATCCAAGGCAAACAGTTTCGGGGAGAATGGGAGCGTGGGAGCAGAAATGTCAACATGATTGACATTGACAGTGATCAACCCGTCATCGAGGAAGGACACGTGATCTACCGCTCTTTTCATGGACGTTGCGTCGCTGCTGCAAGACTCCCCGTCCGACAGGCGGCCGCTCAAGCAGGAGTCCCGTCCGGACCCACGAGATCGTGAACAGCGTCCCGACTCTCGCGACCGTGACCCGCGCGATCAACGCGCATGGCCCGCGCAACCTCCACCCCCACCCCCCTTGCAAAAGCAGTCATGGCCGCCGGCGCCATCATCGCATCCACAGCCCCCGTACCCGTATCGCGAGTCTTACCCACGCCAGCCGCCGCCTCAGTCCCCGAGTGCGGCATCGGGTGTCCCTGGAAGTCCCAATTCTGCGCCTTACATGCCAGGCAGACACGGTCACCTCTATCCCTCCGAGACGCCTCCTGCTGGCGGGGGAGCACCAGCTCCTCCTGGAAGTGCTGGAGGAGCATATTCAGAGCCATCACCGATGTATGCGCCGATGGGCGCACTGAGGCAGCCGGGCCCGCCGCCGAGGGAGCACAAGGAGCGTGAAAGCAGAGACAGGGAACGAGATAGAGACAGGGAGAGGGAACGAGAGCGAGAAAGAGAACGGGACAGGGAAAGAGAACAAAGGGAAAGGGAACGTGATCCGCGCGATTATGTGCCCCACATGCATGGACACCCAACCCATCCAGGACCCCCAGGGTGGCAACAGGGCCCTCCCCCGCCCCATTCCGCCGGCCCTCCTCCTTCTTCCGGGCCCCACGTTCATTCTCACCACTCGCATCCACACTCGCAGCCTTCGGGACCGTTCTTGCTCAATCCACCGTCTCCGAGAATGTATCACGCCTCAACTCCGAGAAGCCATCCTCTGCCGCCTCAACAGCCAAATCAACGCACATTCCAAGGACAGTTCCACACCTCCTTCGTCCCCGTCCGGGAGTCGTCTCCTCCGCGAAAAGCGCCTCCCACCGCCCCCAAACGCGAACGCGAGCGAGAGCAAAGGGAGAGAGAGCGAGAACGAGAGCGCGATCGCGAGCGAACGGAGCGCGAACGTGACCGAGGGAAAGATCGAGAAGTGGACAGAGAACGCGAAGCGGCGGGCTACGCGTGGGGCACGCCTGCCACCCCGGTTCATGCCCCGGTTCCCGGCCATCCTGCACACATGCATGGTCGTGGGCTGGAGATGGACTGGGAACCACAGCATTCTCGCTCTGATTCCATAACCTCCCCTTCTCAAGCGGCAACTAGCCAGTATCCCGCGACTGTTCCGGTTCAGCCACCGGAACCTCCTGAACGTCTTTTCCGCGCCAAGAGAACTGTCTCGTTGGGTACATATGTGTATCCCACCACACCATTCCCGTGGAAATTTGTTGAAAACGCAGAAACCCTCTTTTCGCGGGATGCCGAGGTTGAGATCGACGCCAAGAAGGAGAAAGCGGAGAAAGACAGACAGGATAGAGAGAAGCAAGCAGAGAGGGAACGCTTGGAACGGGAACGTCTGGAGGCAGAGAGCAAGCTCGAACCCGGTGAACTGCCTGCGACGAGCCCGAATCCAACACCGGCACCGGCTGATCCAGTCGAAGACAAGTCTCAAGATACCAAAGCACAGGAATCCGGTAAAGCTGGAGATGCAGTTGATGACAAGGAGCTGCTTGATTTAGAGGTCCGAACTACTATTCTCGTTCCCTCGACGCATCTCCCATCTTCCAAACCTCCTGTCGGGGTCGGCGTCAAAGGTGGCCACTGCTATCGGCTGTGGGGTGGTGGACTCGGCGGGAATGGGGATACCTTACCTTCACCGGAGGAAAGCGACGAGCCCTCACCACCTCCCAAGCGCCGTCGCATCTACAGCGATGACTCCAGTGTGCTATCTGCAGCGGTGCATTCAGGCTTCATCAAGTAAGCATTATCTCCGTGCTCGACTCGCATGTTGATCGCTTTCTCTCCAGATGGTCTCACGTTGCGCGTGCCTGTCAAGAGGGACGGGATGTTGCGATTGAAGTGCGGATGGTGCGAGTGCTGGGTATCGGGAAGGAAGCCTTGGCCGAGGGATGGCACGTTGGCGGAAGCGAGACCCCTCCCTCTTCTTCTTCCGCAGGACCCGCCAAAGACCTGGAATCGAGTGTGGCGCCGGAAGAAGACACGGATTCAGGGAAATCCGCGATAACTACCGTCGTATCTGAAGTGGTCGGCCGCTTCGCTGGCGGTTGGGGAGCGCAATGTTCTGTGGCCTGGGAGGACCTCATCCAGGACGGTTCGTCTGGGAACACCATGTTGTCAGAACAGCAGAACAGCAACAGTGTGGACGATGGTCGCAGCATCATGAGTGCAGGTTGGGGTTCAGGACACGCGGGCAGTGCTTTCGAAGTGGTCAAGGTGTGGATCGGAGAGGTATGTGACGTATTCGCCTCGACACAGTACAAGGATGCTGATGGCTTTGCAGAAAACCCGCGCTTATGCGGGCTCTCATACGCGCTCGCGGCAGAATCGCAGGCAAAGAATGGCAGAATACACTGCGAGGAGATCTGCGCTGGGGCTGGGATCTCTCGGCGGACCCGCTGTCCACCCCATGCACCGACAAACCACACCGCGAGTTTTCCCGTGTCCTCGCGATCCTGCCGTCCTGGCCGGCAAGAAACGCAAGCGGGCGGCACCTTCGCCACCTACGACCAAGGCTGCGGGCGGCAATGCAACCGTGCTAGACATCATCCACGAGTTGGAGGAGGGATGCGACCGTAAAGAGGATGAAGCATGGCAGCGTGACGATTGCACCTGCGCAGCTCTTGCTGGGATCGACCGGGATCTTATGAAGGGAAGAACCATCGTCTGTGCCTTCGGCGACAGGCGAAACGGGTGAGTGGCTATGTACCATTGCCTTTTCGGTCCCAACTCAACCTATTAGATTCAAATACGACCCCGGCCTGCTGCGCGCAACGATGTTCCCTCCCGCCCAGCTCGAGCCGGAAAAAAGCACGGACACCAAACATGCGAACAAACGCCGGCGGCTGAGCGGGCTGGAGGAGGTCGCCTACGCGGCAGCGACCGCGATGGAGGACGACGTGAAAATGGAGTCGGAGGTTCCGGTCCCCCAGAGCGCGGAGCCGCAAGGGCCGAAATCTCGCTCGTTGCGCCTCCAGACGGGCCAGGAGACCCTCGAGCTGCGGCCCGCAGCTGCCGACACAGGAACTAGCGCGCCCCGGTGGAAGGCCGTGCGGCTGCCGAGCGAAGACGTGGTCCATGATAATCTTGGGGAAAGCGATGTGCTGTTCGCAGACACCGGTATCCGGATGGGGTCTGCTGAAATGGTGCCGGTGACGCTCTGGTGTTTTGCGTAGGTAGTCAAAGTCTGAAATAGACATGTTGTGTTTGTAATCGATTGCTCGCATTATCTTTGTGTTATGCAAGCCCGTGTAAGTAAGTTGACCTTTTGAGGCCATCCGGTTCTCGAGATTCGATTTGATTGCTGCAGCGAATGGAGAGCTTACGGTATCAGCCATTTAACTGCTTCTGACCTGTACCTAACACCCAAGTATCGAGGATCCTGATCACAGCTCTGACAGGTTACAAGAACCCCAACCGTCTGTGACCAGCAGTCAGAAGCTGTGGGGATAGCCATCTGAATTTCGGGCATGTGGCTGATTCATGAATTGGATGTGCAGCCGGAGCTGGATTGGGCTGAGAAGGAGCACGGCATCTCCGAGATTCCGGTTCTTCTGAGCCGCCCGAGCCCAACACAGAGCGAGGGAGCCCGGGATACTCGCGAGGAACACGAGATGAAGATGAAGATCAAGTCCGCATGACTGACTTGACAGCAACCTGACAGAATCTATCAAAGATGACAGGGCGCGATCGGCACAGGCCCCCCGGTCACTAGCGACTGCTGAGAGCTGCTAAGCCGGTCCGGAATGGTGCAAGGCAGGGCAACGCTTGGACATGGGCTTGTCTCAGTCTAGACCGTGAGAATCGCGGGCGGAGCCAAGCGTTCTCAGGGTATAGCCTAAGGTCCGCAGCTGTGAGCCATGATGGGTCCATAACATACCACCGGTGAGTCCTGAGCGGGCCACCGGCCGCAGAAAGACTGAATAAGTCCGGATCTTGGTCAGAGACACGCAGAGACTCGGGGAATTGATGTGAACTAGCCGCTCGAGGCGGATTTCATGGCCCAAATCCTTACTCGGGGCGGACTGACCCATGGCCAGCAATCAGCACTCAGCGGTGACGGGGGGCCCACCAGCACTCGATCGCCGTCGCCGAATGGACGAAGAGGCGCTGCAGGCTGGGAAAATCGAGCAACGGTCCTATAAAACCCTCCGCAGGCCACCCGGAGGCCATCACCACACAACACACCACGACAATGTCCTGGACCGACGACGCGCTCGAGATCATCCAGTCCGCAGCGTCTCTCGGCCTCAGTTCCAGCACGGGCAGCGGCGGCGGCACCGGACTGGTGCTGACGATCGCCGTCTTCGTGCTGTTGACAGCCAGCATCACCGTTCATTACACGTCGCCGGCACACTTGACGTTGACACTTGTGGCTGTGATGCATCAGACCGAAGATGCGTTTGACAGGCTGATTGAGTTGGGTTTCGCGGTGGGCAGCGAGGAGCGGGCGCGACTTGCTGCGTGGGTTGTCCATGGCCGATGCGTCTCTTCATGTGCTGATGGCCCCAGCTTGCGCACCCGTGTCTCCGTGATGCGGGAAGACACGCTTTCGGATTCGCGCTCGGTTGGTCGGCGGCTGAGAGCGGTTGTGCTTCAGGGACGGTCGCTCACCCTCATGCGGTGTATCCGGGATGTGAAGGACTTCAGGATCCATCTCGAGGTATGTTCCAAACTAAGCACCAAGCCCGGCTAACCGCGCCGTAGATCTTGTGCGAACAACAGAAACGCCGAATCAGCGCTGTCCTCAACGAAAATGTCAAGCTAGACGCATGCAGAAGACCAGACGACAGCCCGAGATCACGCAGCAACTTCCGTATATTTGATAGAAATTGAGTCGAGTACTTAGCGGTAATCACAAGACAAGCAGCAATCCATTTTACGCCTCCAGCTCCGTCAAAACCGGCCAGCCCTCGTGCGCCCATCAGCCACAGACACGGGACCGAAACGAGAAAAGAACGACGCACCGAGCTCCAGTCGATCCCGTTCAACCCGAGGCTGGAGAAGGTGTCGTTGTAGGGCGAGGGGCTGTCGACGGGGACGTAGTGGTACACAAACACGTCCCTCTGCGTCTTTTTGTCTGTGAAGATCACCTGGCCGCCGGGCGCGTAGACGTTGCCGTGGGAGCCGAGGACGAGCGTCCCGCCCGTCTGCCGCATATCGACGCCGTGTTTGTCCAGGAAAGGGCCGTGTGCGGATTTCGAGCGCCCGACAAAGACCTGCCATTCGGTTATGCACCTCCCTCCCATTCGTGGAGTGGGTGACCAGTCTCGACGCACCTTGTATTCGTTACCGGCGGGGGGCAGCGCATCCGCAGCAAACCCGCAGCAGAGCCCTGTGGGGTTCAGTTCAGTCGCCGATTCGAGGCGGAGGAAGCGCAACAAAAGCGTACCACTGCTGACGAAGAGATAGTAGAACTTGCCGTGCTTCCACACAAAGGAGCCCTCCTCGGGCTGCGGGTTTGTGCCGTTGAAGGATACCTGGACGGGGCTGCTGATCACAGTCTTGAGATCCTTGCTCAGGTCGACTTGGAAGATGTCGTCCTGCGATGGTCGAATAAGAACAGCCACTATTTGTCAAGTACGGATGCGCAGCATACCCAGAAAGACCCTGCATCACAGATCAATCAGGAATTTTGTATTGTGTTGGATCTGAGCGCGCACACACCAAAGGAGAGAATCGGCTTCCCGCTCTCGTCGATGCTGAGGTTGGGATCGATCGCATTGAAGTTGTCCCCGGTCGTGGAATTGAAAACCAGCCCGTGGTCCGTCCAGGTCCCGGGCTCCATGGACCTGCTCGTCGCAAGCCCGATGCCGGAGTTCTGCGACCCAAACGTCGACACAGAGTAGTACCTTGTCGTGTTTTCTGTCAGCCAACAAAGAACATGGAGAGCGACGGCCAGCAGCGCACGCGAAGTATTCTCCGTTGTGCAGGGAAACGTCGGGGGCCCAGATATCGTCGCGTCCCGCTGTCCAGTGATGAATGCCTCTGGATTGGGCACGCAAGTAATTAAAGAGGCCCTACGCAGCTGAATGCTCGAGTTGTGCGGCAGGATCGAGCCCACGGGCGTCCACGGGCTAAAACACAGTCGCAGTCACCGGCCGCGCCGACTCAGCACAAGCGCCACGCACCCTTCGAGTTTGGACGCGGTGACGATGCCCGCCTTGTCGTGTGTCGTGAAGAGGAAGTACTTCCCGTCGTGGCGCTGCACGAGGCTGGGATCGTGCACGAAGAAGAACGGGCCTTTGATCGGCAGCGGATCCGGCCAGCTCCCGTGGGTCTTCGCGCTGCAGAGTGCGGCGCCCAATATCAGCGACGCGATTCGGAGAAGCATCGTGGGATGAGAGCCACCGCCGGCCCCGATGATCTTTATACATGTCGCTTAACGTGCAGGAGGGGCGGCGGGCCGACGGTCAGTCACGAGACGACCCACGCCCGGGAGTCGGCAGCAGTAGCCCTGTCCAGGTGACTTGGTCAAGTGATGTAAAGACTCTTTGAAGCGTTTCTGGGCTTTTCTGGGCGCATGAAGACCAGATATGAGTTGGTAGTAAGTAAGTACTATCAGGCCACAGTGAAATTGAATACGAGGTCACGGGATCCCTGTTAACGCGATCATGTGATCCATGTAGTCCCAGGAGACGCAGACGTGAGGACCAAGTTGGGGAGCACCTCGAACCCCGTCTCTGTTCTTCGACTGAAGCCTCGAATTCGGGATAATGCTTTGACGGTGACCTTCTCAAAGTCGATTCCGAAAGAGAAACCGAACGAGATTATGAAAATCATTCAATTAGACAAAATATACTCAAAGCTCCTTCGCAACAAACTTGGCATCGAGCCCCGCGATGACTCTCAGGATTACGTTGATCTGAGTGACCGCCATTTTCACATCGAGTCTGCTCCATCCGCCGTCGACCATCTGCGCCCAGAGATAGTCTGGCTGCGGAATGATACTGCACCGGGACCGTGAGTGTGTCGTCCCAAGCAGCGAGGACCCAAGCACTACTCACCCGACGGTGGGGATGTTCGAGTACCCCAGCACGCTGCTGCCTCCTGCGCCGTACCAGAACGAGCGGACGCCGTCTACGACCTGCGGGGCCACCATCGCCATCCTCAGCGAGTCCGGGGTGCCTTTGAACGCGCTGAGATATTGCTGATGCATCGATTCACTGGCACTCGACGAGTTGCTGCGAAATCACACACACACGTTGGTCAGCCACGACGTCCAGACGAGAGAGAAAAAAACGGCGCTCGGACGCACACCATGGTCCACATCGGTTCGTGTTTGCCCGTGGGCTCATAGACCGGCGTGCCATGCGCAAAGTTGTCCTTCCACTCGAGTGCGCCGAAATGCTCACACACGATGGCGGCCTTGGCGTTCTGCAGGAGGTCCGGCCGCTCGCCCATCCACGCCGACTCGTTCAGGTGCCCACCCGACATGTGGCCCGTGGTGATGACGAAACTGGGTGAGGGCGCAGTCAGAAAATTGGGGAAGGACAGCCATATCTCGGCACACACTCGATGTTGATATGCAGCGGGTGCGCGGCAAAGTACTCGGCGATGGCCAGTAGAAGGATCGGGCCTGGACCGGGTTCAACATCGACAAGCCACGGAACGACTGCACACACCGTTCTCTTCGATGATCGAGGGCCCATCGCTGTGAGTGTATAGAATCAGCGTGTCGTTCGTTCCAGCTGTGCCCGCGAGATGCGCGATGACGGTCTGCGTCGGCGCATTCAAGCTGGGAGCGTCGAGGACCACCGTCGCCGACTCGACCTGGCCCTGCGCCAACAGCGTCCGGATCCGCGCCCCCGTCGCCTCGCCCACAAAGAGCGCCGGGACGTCGTAGAGCGCGCCGTCGCCGGGGGCGCCCGCGTTGGGCAGAAACTGCAGCGCGCCGTTCGCGTCGGAGATGTTCACCCAGGACGTGATCACGGCCGCGACGCCCTGCGCTTTGACCGCCGTGAAATTGAGCGTCTTCGCGGACTGCCAGTGCGGGTTCCTCAGGTTGCCCAGCTGCGCGGGCGGTCAACAAAGTAAAAGTTTATCGCGCAGGGGTGATCGATCGGCAGCAAATCTTACCTCTGGGATATTCTTCGTCGGGACCGAGGACCCGAGGACACCGTACCCGGGCTCGGAGTAGTTACGCGTCGGACTCGGGTTGTCAAAGTACACGACGCTCCCCTGCGGCAGGCCGCTAAAGTCGAGGCTCGCGACGTCCGCGGACTGGTTCGCGAAGAGCGCGAACGAGCCCACGTCGTGCAGCGGCCCCGTCACACCCTCGATCCCCGAGTCGCCTGAGTACGGCCAGTATCCCGTCGTCGGCAGGCCCAGCGTCTGCCCGTTCTTCAGCTTCAGGCTCAGAGACCACCAGCGCGGATCCCAGCTTGGGTCAATCAGCCTCGTTACTACAGGGATGATGATAAGAAGCCACCGCACCGATACAGCGTGTAGTTGAGCATGTCCACTTGCAGTCCCGCCCGCGTCATCGACGACGAGACCAGCGCGACGAGCGTGTTGTGGTTGTCGTTCCCCGCTGCAAGTCCCCCGCTCAGCCACCAACTTCATAGATCGACACGCATGTAGACAGACGCACTCCACCGCGGACCGCGCAGATTCGTCTGCCACAGCCGATCGCTCAATAGCTGCTCGGCCTGCTGCTCGAGGCACGGATCGGGCCCCGGCTTAGACGCGTGCCCAGCCACAGACAAACACAAGATCCCGGCGGCCAACAGGTGCGCGATGATTGCAAGCATAGCGGGGCGTGGCGAGGGGTGCGGGGTGCGTCCGATCCCAGATCCCGGCTGCCCTTTTATTATCGCAGGGGGGAAGCAGGGGGAAGCTTTGTGACGGCGGGGATTACGCGTTGCCCCATGGGAACGAACGACAGCGCAGGATCAGAACGACTGAGTTGGGAGAAGAGTGACAAGTGTCATGTGCCTCGACGAGGTTCGGCCGTGTGTCGTCGAAAAGGCACCACCCCCCACCAGTCGATGAGATTGTCCGAGAAGATGGCTGTACTCGAGCGCCTGGCCTGATTGTGTCTTGCTGCTATATATAGATGGGTCTGACGCGGACGTCATGATCTTGGGAGGGACTATTATTGGAGACCACAGTCTAGCAGGCGGATTTCGATTGTAGAGAGGAAGATTGGGATGATGGTCGGGACGCACCCGATCTCGGCCGCCCGCCGGCAATATCGTTCGCTCTTCCACTCTCCATCAACAAGTGTGTCTCTCAAACAACCGCACAGTTCTGTCGTCTACATCAGCCAATTAGATTACACGAATCCTGGATACACGTCTGTCCAACTTGATCCACGCGAGCGCGACGGCAGACCGCCGCCGAGCTTCACAGCAAGCTGCATCCCCGTCACCCGAAGCACAGGTCGAGTTTCGGCCGGCGCAGTACGATATGACAGCTACATGCATACTGATGCAAATTGGTACAGATGATTAGCAGACCCTAGAGATAGATGATGTTATCAAAGTTCGTCGCCTCCCCCTGCCCCCTCTGCAGCTCAAAGAATCGCCGTCTTGAGCTGCGCCCAGCGCTATGAAATGCGATCGCCGCCTGCTCGGCGTCGCGCATCGGCGAGTGCCAGCATCTCCTTCAGACTGGCCTCTCGGACAGGTTTGGTGAGTACACTGCAAGTAGATTCAGATGAGAATGGACAAGAGGAGCGCGAAGAAAAGGGACACTGACTGATCTGCGCCAGCCTCCAGATATTCCTGTCCGCGATGTCAATACAGCAGAAACGATCAGTCAAAGGAGACCGCATACCTGCTGGTCAGTCAAGAGAGCGTTGCCTGGAAATGCACATTGAGCTCCCGTCTATCGCTATGTATGTAGCACGATCTCCTTACCTGTGACTCCAACCACAAAATCGGATCGTCCCAACGATCGCAGATGCGAGACCAGCTTCACACCCGACATTTTGGGCATTTGATTGTCTGTACGCATGGATCAGTACAGTACCGTAGCCGCAGACATCACGCGGCCGAACCACCACCACCATCACCACTGACCCAAGAACACCACAGCGAACCGGGTCTCGGCGTTCTCGGCCGGCGCATCGGCACTCAAAATGCGGCCCAGAGCGACTTCGCCGTTCTCGGCGGTGACGACGATACAGCCCAGGCGCTCCAGCAAGCGCGACATCATCGCGCGAGTCATCCCGTCGTCATCCACTACCAAGACGTTCAGCCCCGCTGGCGGCGTCCGCGCGCTCAGTCCCGGCAGCCCGGTCAGCGCAGATGGGTCCTTCCCGGCGCTCAGTCCGCCGAGACCTGTACTGGGAAGTTTGACGTGCGTCGGGCGCCGCTGGGGCGGTGGTGGTGGCTTCGACGCTGGCTCGGCCTCCTTGTCTGCCGGGCGGCTCTCGTCATCCAGCGCGAGGGGTCCCGTGTACGACGGCGAGGACGGAACAGAATAATCCGTGACCGTGGTGAGCGTATCCCCGATCGTCCGAGTGGGAACTGGGGAGTGGGAACTGTATTTGCTCAGCATCAGCTGGAAACTGCCGCCTGCAATCGAAGGTCAGTCATTCGCATCCAATGCGACATGAACGTCGACTCGCCTTGGTCCATCAACCCATGCAGCGCTGACGAAGACCGGGACGAGATCATCGGCGTCTGAGAAGCAAGTCGCGTGGCAGCATCGATGGCCTCAGCGGCACTGATGGCGGTAAACACCGGTGGCGAATCAGCAACACTCGAAGGCGTCTCTGGCGCCATAGCCATCGCTTGCGACCCAACGCCAAGAGGAAGTTCGACCCAGAATGTGCTGCCAACACCGACTTTGGACTGCAGACCGAGTCGTCCTCCGCTGAGCTTGACGATCTGGCGGACAAGCGCAAGACCGAGGCCGGTCCCTTTGCCTCCTTGCTGGCGACCTTGCTCAGTCTGATTGAAGGCAGCTGACGGAGGTGACGTGAGTCACACAACTGAGTCTGAGACCAACCGGCAAGGCTCACAGAATAACTTGCAGGCAACCATGTCCTGCGGTGGGATCCCACTGCCCGTGTCCGACACTTCGATGCGCACAACGATCCGCTCAGGGGGTGCAGCTGCAGCTGCCTCGTTCTGCAATGTCACAGCAGACGCCGTCGAAGATCCCGTCGGGGATGACGAGGATGGCAGGTTGGGAAAGGCGGGAATAACAAGCCGGGTTCTGATCGTCAACGTGCCTCCTGATGGCGTGAACTTGCATGCATTGCTAGCGAGATTCGTAACGATCTGTCGCAGTCGACTTTCGTCTCCAACCACAACTCCGACGGCGTCAGGACCACTCGGCTGCTGTTGCAGATGTTCAGCAATCTGCGCTGGCGGCACATCCATGTGCAAGTAAGCAGCTCGTCGAGCGACCTGTGCAAGGTCAAATCAAATTAAGCTCGGAAGCGCAACATAGCCTGACCTCATCAATGCGCATGTCGAGATCGGTCACAAGCTCCAGGTTCCTTGCGTCGGTAGCGAGTTTCTAACACACGTGACAGCGGGCTCACAGCCGGAACAGGAAACTCACTAATGGTATAAATAGCGAACGCAGGACCTTGTGAAATGCATAGGGCTGGGGAACAATGTCAGTCCAACATCAAGGATGCGGCATGAACATCAGCGCACTCGAGACAGAGACTCTAATCGTCCACTTTCCATGCGATTGCTGGAGACACGTTCAGCTACTCCTTAAATAGCCGGATATGAATCAGACCCACAAATCCAGCACATCGTTCAAAACTGTCACGGGCATTATCGTCAAGGAGATCGGCACAAAGTCTGGCTGGACACACCTTTCGACATCATGCTGAGACTACCCTCAAGAGCCGTAAACTCAAGTTCCTGGTCCTGAGCGATCGGGCGTCCAGCCATGTTCTGCACCGCCAACACTGAAACGGCCCGTGAGTTTACGTAACAGCACCAGAGACGAACGCACAAGCCGTGTTCAGCGGAACTCGGACCTGTGCTCCGAGAGTGAGTGCGGTCGAACAGGTTCCTCACGTCAAAAACTTATCATGGAAGACATACGATGTCAGTCGGCGCTTCGAGCTCGACGCTTGTCGTTCGTTCAATTGCGCTTTTCTCGTCTGCTCGAACTGCGATTCCAGTTGCATCCGCAGCCGGAACAGTCGCCGCGAAGACTGCGGCCTGTTGAGCCATCGCCGAAATGGAATGCGGAGCCGATGTGCACGTACCTGCTCTTTCTGGTAATGCATATAAAGCAAAATAAACTCGAAGATAAGGAAATTGAAGACATCTGCAGCAGCTTCAGTTGATCCACGGATGGGCGCGACACCACGCACTGCGGAGATATTCGCGCTGAATCGGGACCACCAATGCACAGGATCTGGGCTTTTCAGCACGTGGCATGATAAAGCTCACAAGGCTGCGCAACTGACGTTACCAAAAAAAGCAATGCTCCGATGCTGGCGGGCAAACGTTTCAAGTTCGTGCCAAAGAGGGCGGCAGCTTGGAGCGCCGATGTGTAGTAAAACGTCGACAAAAAGTTTTTGCTGCCGCATATGAAAGCGTGGCTATCCGGGTCGGTCACGCCCTGGGTATACGCGCCACACAGGTAGGCGTATAATGTTTCATAGATCGGCCTGCTTGAATGAGCAGTGACTGAGCTATGAGCGATTGTAGAACATACCAGATCCAGATGGAAACAGCAAGAAACACTTGGAAGAAAAACGAACGGTTGTACGGAAAATCGTACGCGCAAAAGAAGATGATGGGGACCGACATGGCGGGGCCGATCTGATCTGGGGTTAGTGGAGGCAGCCTTGAAGGCTTCATCAACTCACTCCATAGTAAAATATCTTGATTGGGGGTAAACTCGTAACTCATATGAGACAAGGTGGACACACCTTGTCGGACAGGACGACCGGACTCTCGATGTGCACAACGGCCGACACGGCACTGGCAATAAAGAACACCGAAGCCCACAGAGACGCCCGCTTAGACTGCCCCCACATCTCACGCTGATAAACACGCTCCTCCTCCGCGTCGCTGAACCGCGGCATGTAAAACTGCTTGAACCGGGACAAAAGCCGAACCAGCATCGATGGCGCCGTAGCAGCACTTTCAGGGTCCCGCTGCGCCTCTACATCCCCAACAGAGGCATCCTTTCGGCTGCTCGCAGCGTCTCCCGTATCCAGGATTGACTCCGATTCAGAGCAATCCGCCCAATTCCGGTCGACGATCACCTCGTCTACCTCGTCCTTTCCCTCGACATCGGCATCCGCGAGATTGCTTTTCCAAGGGACGGAAATGACGCGGGAGAGCTCGGTCTCGGAGACGAGCGTGCTGGAGGCTTCGGCGGGCGCGGCCAGGGTGCGCTTGACGTAGCTGCGGAAAGCCGACCATCGCAAACCCCCTGCGCGTTCCTCGGCGTAGCAGATTTTCGGTGCAATTGAAATAGGGTCGGTATTGGATACTGGCAGAGACCCGGGGAGGGTCAGAGACGCAGAGCCGAAGGGGGCGGAGAGGGTCGGTCGGCGTTTTGATTTGCGCACAGACTCTAAAGAGAATTCGGGATCCCATTTGCCGCTGGAGGACCGCGAGTCGGATGAGTTTTTCGAATTGAAAAACATCCTGGCCAGGGCCGCGCTACACCGGCCAGCTTTGCACGATGCGGCTCACAGTTTGCGGACTTGAGTGCGTGGAAGAAACTAGTGCTGTGTGGGTAACCCCACTTTACGTAAATTGATTGACGGCTTGCTGCCTGACATGACATGCATATGAAATGAACGCCGTCGGGTCCCAGCACAGCCGCGCGGAGCTTATACAAGCAATACAGTTGCCTCCTATGTACTTAGGTCGAGACCACGGTACGCAAGTTCGCTGCCCGTTCACTCGGACTCCTGTGCAGCCCATTCTATGTTTCTCCTCCATGGCTCGTTCTGGACTCGCATCACCACGCGTAACATTGGGTCATATTGGCGCACACAGTTAACCATTGACATGGACTTTGAATATCTTTCTCGGACCTAACTGAACAGCGGCAGTTGTCCGCCCATTCTTTACTGCCAAGGGAAAATCGCGCCGCTTTGTCTCATCCTCTGCCTTTCGTTTCGTCCCTCTGGGCAACGTCCATGAACTCTGAAACCCGGGCCCGGGAACTCCTTCAAAGTCCAACGTCGCACGTTTCGCCGCTCGGATAGTAGATGTCGATGAGCGGTGCGGCGAGAACACCGCTCTTCGGGAGGCATTTTCGTCCTGAAGCTCGTCAGACCAGCTCTTAAGCCGTAGGAGGACGCACATCTGTATTCATATCGACCATCGAGTCCATCCGAGAGGGATTAGTGTTGTGCTGTTCCAAAAGCGCGTTTCGCTCCTGCTCCAAGTCCTTGATCCGAGCCGCAAGTTGATTACGCTGGATAGTGTGCCCATGAGCTATGAAACGACGTCACAAAACCTCACTCACGGCTGCATAGTTGCGTTCCAGGTAACCCTTCAGGCGCCGCACTTCATCCACCGACTTCTGCTCCTTGGCCTCAGCATCCCTTCGTACCCGGAGATTGTCGGCTTCCCTCTCCTTGACTAGTTCAAGGGCCTGCGACCAGCGCTCGTTGGCCGCATTCACTTGTTTGCGTGATTCAGCCTGGTCAATGCGCAGCATTGCCACCTCGGCGTCCAGCGTGACTGTACGATTCGCCTTTGCTCTGATCGCATCGAATTCGAGTTGTTTTGCTTCCAACAAGCTGATCTGAGTCTCTTGACTCTTCATGCGAAGGAACGCCGGCTTCAGACGAGTCTCAAACGCCTCTATGGCTTGCAGAAGGTCATCCTGGACCGAACAATCAACTCTCAGAGCACGTTTACAGCAGCCGTCAAGTTTCCACACCAGCTTCGAGTCCCCCCGTTCCTGCGTCGCCACCTGCTTGAGCTTCCTGATAGCTCCGTCAACACTTTTCACCGGTACCGTATCGTCCATTCTCCCGATTCCAGATGTTATACGTTCGAGAGGCGATTGATAATCCGCGAGTCGGAGATATATTGGCTGAGGATCGTTCACCCCGATGGGATGTCGACATTCAGGACAGCTCCGCCGGCTCGCACGCTGCAGTTGACCCAGACATACTTTGCAGAAGCAATGGCCTGAGAATTTCGTGTCATTGATTATGGAGCGCAACTTGCGGACTGCGGCGCACCGCAAGCAAGGCGCCGCATGAGGTTCATGGGCAAATCCGAAAGGCAGATTGGGCAATGGCAAAGCTGGGACGAGGCCATGGGAATAGGATAGAGATGTCCGAGCGTGAAATGATGTAAGCAAGAATCAAGGTGAGATACGGGCCGGCGAGCGTGGCCCCCAAGTCTACGACACGGGGATGGCGGTAAGAACCACTGAGTGTTGAATGTCACGGACGCCAAACGTCACAAGCCGGGGGTACACGTGCGCGTGACATTAGCAACATCATTTGATTTTTGCAAGGAAAGTACGTTTGTAGTGAAACACGGCCCATGGCTACAGCTAAGATACATTTTTCCGTCTATACGGTCGCATTTAGTCCACCAGTTAAAGGAAAGTAAAGAATCTCTAGATAGATAGGCACTAACAGAGAACGAATTTTGAAACGTCGAAGGGCGATATTTCACCCATCACTTCCACTCTGGCTGCCACCCCGATTTCTTCGCGTCTTCTTCAGAGTCTATGACGCGTCCCTGCTCCTATTGTGTCACAGTCAGCAAGACGTAGACCGAGCAAAAGAAGGTGATTACCTCGATGCTGCCCTGTGATGGCGAGATGTGGGTGACGATCTGTGTCTGGACGAAGACCTGTTCTGTTTTACGCAGATTTCCCAATTCAACGTCACCTCGCTTTAGAATGTCAGCATGCGCAAGCGAACGGTACCAAACAAACAGACCTTGACTGAGCGCCCGTGCGAGACACCGCGCGAGCCCGACGAGCTCAGCCCACCGCTCATCGCCTGTGTTTTGCGGTACTCGTTGATGCAGTTGAGTGTGTATAGCAGACTGATTGCGTAGAGCTTGCTGAGCGCGAAGTTGAAGACAAGATGCCCTGGAGGATGGTCACTCATCGTCTCTCTTCGCTCTCGGGACAACACGTACAAAGCAAATGTTTTTGCCCGAGTGTCTGGGTCATAATCAAATCGATACCCGCAGCGATCTGGGCGTGATATAAGCGTCTGTCGTCAAATTTAGAGTGGCATGGGACAGCGCGTACCGTAGGCGGGATGGCACTCTCAAAAACGAGGCGCAGCAACCTGTTGATGAGACTGGCCGTCGATGCCAGTCCACCGGAGTTCCGATTCCGCAGTGCCAAACAAGTTCCGACGGTGATCATAAAGTCGGTGCAGAAAGTGCAGACGAGGTGGACCAAGAGCCACATCACTTTAGCTTTAGCGTCGCCGATCACAATCGAGTTCAGCTAGACAGATGTGAGCAAGCTTCACGACATGTGTCGAAGATCCTACCGAGAGGCAGACACCGGCGAAGCTGAGCATCATCGAGATGACGATGGGGATGCACGCCCAGAGATTTCGAAGAAGCATGTAGAACCGCATCGTGAAGAAGCTTTGGACGATCACGGCAATGATGCCGGTCTATAGCTTGTAAGAAGAAGATCCAGGACGCTCAACGGTGACCGGACTTGCCATCGTCGGGGCGCTCACTTGATACCACGCTTTGGCGACAAGCGTTTGTGCGACATCGGGGTTCGCGAAATCTAGATTCCGCTGAGACTCGATGGATCTGAGAAGCGGGTAGGATCGCGTACCATGCACGTTTTGGACCCAGACGATGCCAATGGCCTGCGAGGTCTGTTCCAAAACGCGTCAATGCCGCAGCACAGGCCCATTATGAATGCAGTCACCTTCAATACACACAAGAAAACCACCACGAGGACCAGCCAACGATAATGCCTGAATATAGTTCAGATCTAACGAGAGCGCATAGCCGAGAGCACCGTCTACCTGCCAATCCCAGACTGGTTTCGGTAGGATTTGAAGAAGCTCGAAGTTTGACACAGAACTACACCCAGAAGTATAGCGTCAAAGAACCCAGCGATCACCTGCATTGGATGAGTCCGCGCGTAGACCAGTGCGTGATGCCATCGCGCACCCAAGCACCCAGTGTGGTCGCCCGATTATCTACGAAGATCTGGGAAGACGGGGAGAGTTGGATTATCGAATGCTGGGGGGCTGGCATGGTGCACGACGGGAAGGGAGGAAGGCCCGAGGTGAGAGCCTGAGAAGAGCCATGACACCTTTAAGAATTCGGTCGCCCCCGTTTCGTGCTCGACAGTCGTGAGACAGTGCAATTGGCAACTTGCGGCGGAGCAAGCTCGGGGTCTCACGAAGGTCGCTGCACGAGTTAAGCGAGGACCCCTGGCTTCCAGCATTGACCGGCAAGCCGTGTGCACCTGGTCACAATTCAATCTTTCTGTTTTCGATTTCCGACGAGATCCCCGAGGTGCTATGTGACCTTTACCTAATCATCCCCATTAATTCGGTCCTCGAAACCTCGCATGTTGCAGCCTGGAACAGACATAAAACTGAGGGAAGCAGGGACTTTCATGGTGGAATCGAGATGAAGCCGTCCACGACGCTGTGGCTGAGCCGGTAAGACTTGAATTGAGTGAGGGCGAACAAGCTGATTCACCGAGCTGCTGGGCTGGATGTCCGTCACTCATTGGCTGCTTCAGCTCGTTCGCTCGTCGGTTGAGGGTGGTTGAGATGCCCGTTGCCACTTGCCGACAACCCCCGGGCCGGCCGATGGCAACCATTCGGAGATAGCCACCCACGTCATTCAACTGCTTGCGTGACGCGTAAGTAATGGCGACAAAAAGGTTCTTTCGCTATTAGACCGTTGGGAAGACGGAGAATATTAGAGTTCCTACACATGCTGTAAAGAGCTGCGGATTCTGAGAAGGTAATACCGCGAACAAAGCCCGTGGGACCGCAGAGAAGTTGAATCGATCTTATCACACCAGATTGTTGACCGAATCCTTCATCAGAACCGGGAGAAGTTGGGCCGCCCTCTGTACCACCCAGATGTGGATATTCCACACGAACTGTGATTTCCCGAAAGCAATATGAGTTGCGTACCACCCCAGAGGCATCTGGCACCCATCGGCCCTGTCAGGAACTAAACCGTTGACTAGACTTGTGTACTGCTGTGTGTAGTAGTAACTCATGAGCATGGGCCCTTGACATACACACTCAATGTTTCAAGGGTCTGTTCGCCTTTGCGTGATGCGGAGGGGCGGCCGTTAAAGCGCTTGAGAGAATTGTCATGCTTCATGACGGATCCGAATTACAGATACCCATTGACTGCCCCAGCGAGCGGGGATAGTCGACAACATCAGATGCTGGCCGGCTAAAAAAGCCCAAAATAGACATGACAGAGAGCGTGTTTTTCGGGATCCAATAGCCCTACAGCGTGAATATTCCCAAGTCCAAATCAAGCCAAAGTTGCGTTCGAATAAATTCGCTGATGTTGCTGATCTGCGGGCCAAGGAAGGGTAGATTGAGCCCCAGACACATCCAGTAATGACCGCGGCGCATAAATGGATCAGTAGTGACTGCGAATGCGACCGCCTGTAAAGGTACCCAGTGTTCACCCAAGCGAGACAGAGTCTCGACCCGGCTGCCGCTACTCGCGTCGCAGATAGGCGAAGCAGTGCCCTGAGGAGAAGACAGCTCTCAGGCGGGACCGTAGCCTCATCTCAAGTCCTGAAATACTCTGGCGTCACTTCTGGCCGGGTGACCGATCGGCGATGGGCCAAATCGTGGGACGGCCGGGGTAGGCGGAAGCAAGATGCATGGAAACACACCAGCCCTTTCATTGCAGGGCCGAACGGGATGCAGCACGAGCGCCCGGCTCACAGTTTCTCCAGATTAATCAAGCAGCGGCCGGAAGAGTCTAGCCACCTGGAATGACGATATCGTGCAAGACAGCAGCGGTCCACGAGGCAGCGGCTCGTTGATGTCGGCACTGCAGCCGTGAGAGAAGGCGCGTCGGCTCAACGTCGGTAGCTCGTGCTGGCGGCGCCTCGCTTGACGTAAGACTCCAGATATCAGACAGACGAGGTCTATTTCCCCTAGATTCTTGACCAGACACCAGATAGCCGACCAGAGCAGGCGTCTCGTCCAGAAGCCAAACAGCCAAATCATCACAGTATTTCTCCAGCTCTTCGAGTCCTTGAATCTTGGTGTGGGCCCGGTGGACTGTGGTTACTATACCATCGCCGTTTGCACATAAGTTTGGGCCCAACGTGACTGTTCGAGCTACTTATGTAATCCGATGTAACTCCTTGCGTGACTCCTACGTCCGTGACACCGTTGTGGCTGTCTTGACTCTTGTTGTCGGCATCCTATTTTCAAACCATCTCGCCATTGGCATCTAAATCGGTCCCTTGTAACCTGGGAAAGCTTCTGGACTCCTTTTGCATTTGCGATCTGCGGAGGCCCTACCCCTGTGATGCCGTGTGAAAGGCGCAGCTTGTTAGCGCTCAGTAGCAGCAGCTCAACAGCGCTAGAACCACCACGTCTCAGGCTGTCGTAAGCGATCTCACTGGCCCCGAAGCCCAAGCGCGATCCATCAATATTCGATTTCAATTTCCGCCTCCCAGGCTCTCACGCGTGCGGTCCAGTCACGACGCAGGACGTCGATTTCCTGCGCGCCAGCTTGGGTCGTTACGCTTGGCAACAGTCATAGCTTCCCTTCTCTGAATAACCCTCGTCTCTTTTAGCCTTCCTATATTTCTTCTTCTTCTTTCCGCACCACTTCCCTATCTATCTTTTCCGGCTCGTGCAACAATGTCTAGTCAACAGCCCGACTTAGCGGACGGCAGATCCTCTGGCAAGGATGCTGTTGTCGAGAAAACCTCCCTTTCAGGAACTTCTGGAACGGAGGATGTAGAGTCTCGTGAGCGCCCGGATCTTTGGTCATTCCGGCATGATCTCACCCAAGGTTCAAGAGCTCAAAGGCGTCCCTGTGCTTGCCACCGGCAAAACTGGGCTCAAACTCGACAGGCATGGCCTCCCCTTGATCCCGCAGCCGTCGGAAGACGCGTCCGATCCTTTGAACTTCCCGCAATGGCTCAAGGCGCGTATCCGATCTAACCCCCACGCGTCACACAGGCTGAAAACGTGGACCGCTAGATTGCTATCTTGCTGCAAGTCAGTTTCCTCGCTGGGCTCGGTCCCCTCAATCAAGCTGTCGTGAATCCTGGTACCGAGATACTTACACTGCCCGAGGGGTTCCTGGCTGACTCTCTGATCCCCCAGCCCTCGTTCCTCTCGGTATCCATTTCAAAGTCACGCCCGTCGTTGCAAGGTTTCTCCGATCCACTCTCCGCGTAGCGACTGAATCTGATCTCCCAATACAGTTACCAGACGACGATCGCTATCGGTATGTATCGCGCTCTGAAATGAACGCGGCCCGCTGATTTGCGGTAGCTTTCGCTGGTATCGGCTCGTTCATATGGGTGCCCCTCTCGAACACTTATGGCCGTCGGCCGGTCCTCCTTTTCTCGACCCTCATCGCTGCCGCTTCGTCGCTGGGATCCGGAAAGGCGACCACCTGGGGCCAGCTGATCGCGACGCGGGTGCTGAATGGACTGGGCACGTCCTCCTTCTTCACTCTCGGTGCCGGCATGATCTCGGACTGTTTCTTTCTGCATGAGAGAGGCCGTGCCATGGGCGTCTTCACAGGTCGGTTCCCACCATCTGATGAGCATGAGCGCAAACTGAGACACTGCTGCGCCAGTGTTTCTGACCAACTCGGCGCACGTCGCTCCTATCCCCGGAGGATACCTCGCTCAGTTCGTGTCCTACCGCTGGTGCTACTACCTCCCGGCCATCTTGGACATGACGCTTTTCGTGATGATGTTCTTCTGTCTGCCCGAGACTCTGTTCATGAGGGGTTCCACGCCCGTGGCTACAAGCTCTCCGATTCTCCGCCGTATGAAGCTCTGGGGTCTGCGGCCAGAGGGCAAACACCTCACACTCTCCGACTTCTTGGGCCAATTCATCATGTGAGCAGCATTGTTGCTCGTCGCTTCGCTGCAAATTAACTCCCCACACAGGTTCAAATATCCCACTGTGCTGGCATCCGCTGTCTACTACTCGATCACGTTCACTTTGAGCTCCATCCTGCCTGCTGTGACCAGTGCCGCTTTGTTCAAGAAGCTGTACGGCTTCACCCCCTCTCAAACCGGCTTGGTGCTCGGATTTGGCACGTTGATTGGCTCAACGTTGGGCGAGCTGATGGGGGGTATCGTCGTCGACCGCACGATGTATCTCAGCCGTAAGAATAACAAGGACAGCGAAGTTCTGCCCGAAGTCAGATTGCGGGGTATCTGGTTCGGTGTCATTCTCCAACCGGTGCGTCTAGGCATTTTACAACACTGACAGTACACTCTGCTGACTCTGCGTAGATCGGTCTGTTGATCTGGGGCTTCTCCATCCAATACAAAAGTCGGTCTCCTGCTTTTTTTCTACCCTGTCCTCATCCTTGTGCAGCGATGTGGGTTGGGCCGGCCTTCGGCTTTGGTCTGATGTGCTTCGCCATCCAGTACGTCCGGGCCCATCAATTTCCGCAGTTCACCTCACGAACGTCCCGGCAGAATCACATCCACTGTGCTCTACAGCTACAACGCCGATTGCTACAGGCCGCAGACATCCGAATCGGCGCAGGTCATGAACTTCGGGCGTCAAATCATCGGAATGACCAGTGAGTGTGAACGCTTCCAGGAGCAGACAGTCTGACTGACCCCCGCTGTAGCCGGATTCTGGGCCATGTATGTGCTTTCTCCAGCCTGAGTGGCTTACTCTTCTGACACCCTCCTAGTCCCATGGGCACTAAGATTGGATTCCAGTTCATGGGCGTGACTCTCGCCCTCGTTGGACTGGTGTCCTTCCTGCCGGTCCTCTTCCTCATGTATCATGGGAAGACGATCCGAGATAGAATGGGCGCACCTTCGTTCAACAAATCAATGTGATGCAGACCCGGTGTATCTGCACAAGATTCGGGCTCCCTAGTCACCTGACAGCCTAGCGGCGACTTCTCTTGGAGTGCTTGCTACCTACCATCTTTCGGTTTTTCTAAACATTGTCACTGTACTTGATATAGACTAAACGATTCCTCTCTCTTTCTGAATTATACGCGTTGAAGGGAAGACTCGGACCAGCCAGCTCAGGCTATCGTGTGTGAGTACCATGAGCTAGCGCAAGATCCTACCCAGTGAGCCTGAAGTTTCAGAGAGTGCGATTACATGAGTGAAAGGGGGCGAGCCGATAACAAATTGGGACGAGTGCCCAGCCCGACTCGCTCAAGTTATTGGGACCACCTACACGCCCGCTTCGGTCTTGGTGGGTGGCTTGGCTCACACGGCTTGGCGCCTGCTCCGTCATGAAGTATCCATGCATCGGAGCATTTTGGAGAGACCCGCTGGATCAAGCCTGTTTCCCTGTCGACGGGATGAATGTGGGTGCATTTGGTGCGCAGAACAGCATGATCATGTGACTTTTACAGAGGCATATCATGTCCATCGGCGAGGGCATTGACTTTAGACGACCCCGTGACACTGACTTGCTCGACGGCGGCAATAAGATCCATGACTGCTCCCCGGTGACTGAACACCATCAGTCTTTGTAGATGCATACCGAAGGCCGCCGCCATTGTGTTTGCATGTTCAACATGGAAATTTTCCTTTTTAGGAAAAGGGAGTTGCGCGGTGCGCCGATACGTACAGGCTCCACTCGCTTCAACGAGACAGACAGACAAAGGCAGAGAAGCGCCTATAAAAACAAATGTATACAGAATTCCCGTGTCATGTCACATGAATGCCCGATCCATTCTCCTTAGATTTCGCCTAAGTATACAGACATAGATCCAGATTCCAAACCTCAAGTTAATCGCGGACCCCACTTTGACAGAAAGTGCCAGGCTGGTTAGAGTTTAGCGGGAGTAACCAGTGAGCCGCCGTGTGTCAGGATAATGGCCGCTTCTTCAACCATGTTTTGTACAATCACCTTCGAACACGACTCAGACAGAAATCATGAGCAACGGCGAACGGTGCGTACTTTTGCCGGCAAGATGTCGTCGATGACCTGAGACCCGTCAGATGACGGCAGTCCGGATGCGGTCTAGAACTCACCGCTGCTACGGTACCCACCGGCCACCGAATGGCCCGGATAGCCTTCTCCGGATGATCCTCCCTCTCTTTTTCATGCGGCACAGTCCCGCTGCTCAGGAGTGCTTGGATCTCCGCATGGCGGTTGTTGTGCCTGGGAACCAGCGTCGTCAAATGGCCGCCGCACGTCCGATCCAGAGCACATACCAGTCCTCGATGTAGGGTGTCTTGATCACGCGCATGGGTCTCCCGCTGAAAACCAGGGTGGTTACGATATCGTCGTAGCCCGCTTTGACCACGGCATCCTTGTGACCCTGCGGCGCGCCGGCTTCCTCGGAGGCAAGGAATCTAGTCCCGACCCCTAGCAAAAGTGAATACCAGTCAACGCAACAAGATGCGACGGTGACGGACAAACGGCCTGTGCCCCCCATGCCAGGTTCGCAGCCAATCCCCGTCCGTCGTAGACAGCCCCGGCGCCAATGACATGCACGGGTTGGCCCGTCAGCGGAGACGTGCGTCCCCTGACAGCATCGACGCAGCTGGGGATCAGGATGCTCGCAGGGATGGGGCCGACGTGCCCCCCGGCTTCGCCGGCTTGGGCGCAGATCAGGTCCACGCCGACGTCGAGCGCTTTCTTGACGTGCTTGGCGTGCCCCACCATGTTCATGACCTGCAGGATGGGCCCCAATCAGCTGTCGTCGTTCCCGCGTTCGATGTACGCGGGGAAACGAACCAGGATGCCGGCCTGGTGCAGTCTCTCGACCGCGTCCTTGGGCGGAACACCGATCGCGCTGACGAACAACGCGACCTTCTCCTCGATAATCACGTCCAGCAGCTGAGATAGCTTGCCCTTCGTGTAGTCGTACTACCCGCGTCGCGTCAGGAAACTCCCATGTAACTCAGTGAAACGGCGACGCGTACGTTGGTCTTGCGCGCGCTGCCCCCCACCTGGGGAATGAGCAGATCCACACCAAACGGGGCGCTCTTGTCCACCAAGTCCGCCCTGATGTCTCTTATCTACATAGTTGTCTCGCTCTCAGTCGCCACGACAACAGACGAGCGCGCGCACAAACACACACACACCTGCTGCTTCAGCGCCGCAGGCGTGTAACCGTACCCTCCGATGACACCGAGCCCGCCTGCAAAGACGTCGAATGAAGCGCATCCTGCGATCCTCCAGCCCACTGCGTACCGGCATTGCACACGGCGGCCGCCAACGACGGGCCCGCGGCGGTGTCCATGCCCGCAAGGAAGATGGGATGCCGGATCCCGAAGAGAGTGGTCACTGGCGTCGTGATAGTCGCCATCAGCTCGATTCGGTGCGAGACGCAGGGGGAGCGAGATCAAGAGAGACTGGGGACCTTCTGAGAAAACCTCCTTTCTAATTTACATTACATTGTGGAGATCAAGAGCCGCTGTTTGCCCGTGTTGTCGGCGCGTGTCTGAGTAAGGGACATACATTTGATCGGCGGCGGCGCTTCGACTTAGCGCGATTGTAGCGTGGTCTGGCGTTTCTAGCCTCTGATGCATGGCACGGATTTGCGTCTGAAAAGAACGTCGATTGAGGATGGTACGTGATGGTAAGCTTTTACAATGAAAGACATGCGAAAATGCGATGATATGGTACGAGTATGGTATGCACTGAGGTGGTATGATGGCGCCCTCTGAGGGAGGGAGGAGAACGGCAATTCGTCAGGTCAGGACTTGAAATAACGGCGCGAGCGATTATCATGGCGCATCGTCTTCCTTATCAACTGAGACTGGGCGAACATTTTGCATCAATCGCCGCAGACGTCCCAGCTCTGCGGCAAGCTCACTGCGTCCACCATGTTAGAATGACCAAGAGACAGGAAGGACACAGACACGACTCACGACGCGGTTGCGATCGCCTCAGTGCTCTCCCGATTACTGTTCTCGACTTGCTGCTTCATCAGCGCAATCTGCTCCGCCCAGCTTTTCTCTAGTTGTTTTTGGCGTTCTCGTTCTTCAGCCCATACTCGCTTCAGGTCGGCCATGGTGGTCACGCTCCGTGATTTCCCGCTCTCATCCTCCACTTCGACAAGATCATTGGCCCCAGCAGTCCACTTCTTGCGGACTTCGTCGACCAGCTTCTTGTATCGTTTACCAGCGCCTTCACACTCGGCCTTGACCCGGTCGTCTCTCCGAGAAGCCTCTTCACGAACACTCTTGATGTCTCTCGCGAAACCCTCGACCATCCCTTTCATGCTATCTCGAAGCGTGATGTATTCGCGCTCAGACTTTTGTGACAAGGCAGACGATTCGGCCAAGGCAAGCTCCAGCTCCCGAATGGTCTTCTTGGTCGACGTGGTTTCTGTCTTGCTTTGCGTCTTCAGAGCTGCAGACTCCGTTTCAGCTTTTCGTGCGCGCTCAAGGACCTGTCACCCCCGTGAGCACGTCAAAGACCTGGAGCGACAACCAAGGACGAACCTCCTGCAATAATCTCTCCTTTCGTGCAACGACATTGTTGAGTCCCTCATTCTCTAACCGCAAGCGTTCCCTACCCTCTTTCAAGTCCTCCGTTTGTCGAGTCAACTGGGCCACGCTTCTCTGCGCTAGACGAAGCTGGGCCTTGGTATTTTCCAATGCCGTCCGGGCATTGAGAACTCCGGTCTGAAGATCCGCAAGAACTTTAGTGGTACCGCCACCTGCGCTGGTACTAAATCCAATTGTGGAAAGACGCTTTCCGGGAGAGACGGATGACGCGGGGTGTAGAGTATTAGGGCCAGCCGAAGACGGTGAAAGTGCGGCTGCAGAAACAGTATCGATAGTCAACTTCGATGAAGAAATGGGGCGGGATAAAGCTGGCGCGCCATCGTCGGCAAGCGCCCGCGCATTGCCTGTCAGACCTAATTAGTCACACGATGAGCGGAGCGGAGAGCCGACGCTGACCGACAGATGAGACCGGTATTCCTGAAGCTCAATCAACACCGGTCAGTGACAATGGGAAACGACTGCTCACTGCTCAATGTACGAGTGGGGCTACTTAGTCTCTTGTACGACGCTCCACCACTTGACCCTCCTTCTCTTTCGAAATCCATGGGGACTCCGTCCTTGAAATCCTCCAATCCAGCCGCGTTAGAGTCTCGTCCTTCTCTTCGCGGAAGTGGCAGGTTCGATTCGGGGGCCAGGTCACGCAGCACGTCGTAACTGGAGCGCCGTTTCGACGGGGGAGATGACGGAGGTGTCGTGGTCACGGTGGTCAATGATGATATAGATGCTGAGGATCTGGAGGATGGAAATGACATGGCCGACGAAGGGGTTGAAGTGGAAGATAGCGAATCTACAAGTTCAGGAGGATATGGGCGAGGACCTTGGAGGAGCACGTTCTCGAGGGACATGAGCTTGGCTTGCTGATGACGAATAGAATGCCTGAGTGTGGATACCTGGGTTATATTCCGGTCAGTCTCCGGGAACAGAGTGGGGACGGAGTACAAACCTGGTTGCGAACAGCAACTTGAAGCGGTGTCAGAGGTGGAGATCTTGAAACATGGAGATGGAGGGCGACTCACCTGGGTCGTCTACCGAGAAAGCGGGACTGGGAGACCTATTGGAAGACTTGCCCGAGGTGATAGATGAACGCGAAGAAGGACGGTCGCGATTTGGCGTCGTGAGAGTTGAGCTTGAGGCAAAGCTTGAGGACATGCAGAGACAGACTAAGCTGGTGTCGACGCAAGGCAAGTGTTGCCCAATCTGTATCCGGCGTCCAAAGCGAAAGTATACAGTAGTTAGAAGACCCTACCTATCACTTAGTAATAGCAGCCTCGCTGGCTCGAAACCGAAACGGGAGTGAGAATCAAATAAACAAGGTGTGAGTGTGACAACGCGCGCCAGTCACATCATTCAACTTACCTTACGCTTCTACGCGTCGCCGCAGGGTTTCGCACACTTCACTCTCCTTTATTACAGAATCGCACATCTGGCACGCGTCGAAACCATGTCCTGTGCGATATGCCTATCCAAGTTGGAAGAACCCGTGTCCATACCATGTGGTAAGCGTCAGCGGCGTCTGCCTGCCACTGGCATACTTTTCTGATTCCATACTGACCGCCGGCAGGACATGTCTACTGCTCAGAGTGTCTCACACAACATATATCCGTGACCAGTACCGATGGCTTCAACTCAACATGCCCCGCGTGCCGCGAACCTTTCAGTATTCGTGCGTTTAGTCTTTCGTTGTACTACTCTGTTCACTTCAACTTCCTGCAGTGCGTCCTGATCCAAACGCGCTTCCAAAGAAACTACACCCTTTCCTACACTCTACACTGCGTCGCCTCTTCATAGAACCTCCTCCCCCTGCGCCGTCCTCGTCGTCCCTCAAAAAGAAACTCGCGAGTGCTCATGCTCACGTGGAAGCACTGGAAGCAGATAAAGAACGTCTCATGGACGAATGTGAGAGACACATGGCTGCTGCGAGTGCTCACTCCCGAGGGGAGACAGAGGCAGTGAAGAAATCAACGGCTCTGGAGAATTTGTTAACACGAGAGCGGCAGAAATGGGCCAGATGGGAGGATGAGAGGGAGGAGGAAACGATCAACAACAACAGAGTGTTCGCCGAGCTCAAAGCCAAATATGACCATCTGAAGAAAAAGAACAAACTCTTGGAGGCAAAGTGAGTGGGACTGACCAATCGAGTGCTCCGTTTCTAACCTTACGTAGAATGAAGACGGACAATGATATCCCCCACTCTGTTGCCGATCTGACTACCATGTTGCTCAAACGCACGAACTCCTCGACCGTGGACGAGGCGTCCACTCCCAAACGGATTCGTGTCATCAGGCCATTGCCACGCACTCGTCTCAGCCTCCCAGCTCCGACACCACTGCAAACGCCAGCAGGAAGGGCTAATTGTGACCTTGGTTCCCCGTTCAGAACCTAGTCTTCGAAGATAGTCTTGCATTGACATCGGTAGCATATACTGTGCTCATCTAACTTGCCTATAGATCAAACTGTGAATATAGTGGGATGGATCTCGCGAGAGTTTACTGGCCTCGATCTCCTTGGATGAAGCGGACGCATCCTGCACTCGTTGTCCAGCTCTCAGATTCGCGTGGTATGCTCGTGAGGACGCAAGGAAGTGTTCAGGTGTCAGGCCAGAATCGGGCATTCGCGCAAAAGCACCGTTCTTTAGTGCTCGCGCTTTGAATGGTTTAACACGTTGGGCGACATAGGGTTTGAGCTATTGAGTTGCCGGAAGCTAGTGAGCTTAGGTATGAGATATTGTTTGCGACACGCACCTCAGAGTTTATAATCTCGTCTATGGGAGGGGCCACGAATACCCTCACTTTGTCCTCCAGCAGCTGGTATCCCGGTCGTTTGTTGACGTGCACACCAGGTGCACCTGTACGATGACCAGTAAGTGCAGCTTGACGATTCCCTGTTCACCGGAAACATTCATAATGAGAATTTCGTGGCCTAAACACGAATGCGACAGACCCTTATAGTAGTCTTTGTTAGCACGGAACGACTTCAATGGCCTACGAGACGCAAAGCGAAATCGGGCGGCAGTGGGAAACATGGCAAAAGTTTTGGAAGCGGGTCACGTACCTGTCACATCACGACTTCATTCCGCTTCAAGCTGATCACTCACTCGCTCTCGATCTCGCATACATAGACTTGACCTGGTCCGAAAGTGTCATGGGGAAGAAACCTGCCCCAAACGCAACGTCCTCCAAACGCGGAAAGGGAAGGACCTCCAATCGTGGCCGTGGAGTCACCCACGGCGGGCGGGGCGGAAAACACACAATCTATGAAGGGTTCGGTGATAGACCTGAAAGTGCTGTAGATCAGATCGAGGACGAAGGGGAGAGAGAAGATTCTTCAGAGGAAAGTGGAGAAGAACTTGTTACGATCGCCGTTCCTGTAGCGATGTGGGTGAGTACTGTCCATCTCCACAACTGACCGCATCGCTCAAGTCACTATCCAAGGATTTTGACCATTGCGATCCACGGCGCTGCTCCGGGAAAAAGCTTGCGCGTTTAGGTCTTATCAAAGAACTCAAAGTTGGTGCTCGGTTCAGAGGAATTGTTGTCTCGTGAGCGTCTGTATTTCTTTGCGCTGTTTAGCGTGCCTACCCACTAATCTATCTTCTCGCAGGCCGAAGGGCACCCAAGTCATAAGCCCTGCAGATCGGGACATCGTTGAGATAGGCGGACTTGCAGTCGTTGAATGCTCATGGGCGCGCCTGGATGAGATCCCTTTCGGAAAGATCGCAAGTCCGCACGAACGGCTCTTACCTTATCTCATCGCCACAAACCCGGTCAATTATGGCAAGCCATGGCGACTCAACTGCGTCGAGGCTCTTGCAGCGGCCTTCTACATCACCGGTTTCGATACCTATGCCGAGCGGTTGTTGTCGGGATTTGGATGGGGTGGTGCGTTCTATGAGGTCAATCGGTCAGTCGCGTTTCCTTCCGTGAAGGCTCTCATTCACGATATAACAGCGACCTATTGAGTCGCTACAAGACCTGCGCAAGTTCGTCCGAAGTAACCGCAACGCAGGAGGAAATCATCGAGGAGCTTGAGAAGAGCTACCAGCAGTCGAGGATTGAAAAAGGTATCGTCTGCTGCCACACTCCTAGGCGGAGCCTGACGGTCACTGCAGATCGTGCAGCCGAGGATGGGGGAGACCTGCTAGTTGCTAATCCAAACCATATCCGGCCCGATTCCGACCTCGACGCGGAGCCGGGATCCGATGATTTTGAAAGTCCGGAGCACGGCTTGTCGGAGAGATTGCAAGAGCTGCGAGTGTAGTAATCCCACGTCGCAGAGATCCGTGAAGTTAGCTTCTCACTCGAATATGCATTACGCCTGATAGGATGAATGTTCCCGCACTATCCTCTAGGGAAGTCAATCTCCAGTTTTGCGACCAAGTAATCAGCTCTTGAATGTCCAATTCCATGACCTCACGGTCGGCAAAGATGGCGCGCGTGACTTTGACTGATCACCACCAACCGGCTTTTCGGTTTATCACAAAACCACAATCACCTGAATGTTTGCTGCCGGGTCAATGCTTATATGACCCGTAGTCGCTTCCCCAGAACCCACGCGTCGCTTGGTCTCGTCCTCCTACAAAAACTAAACCGACACCCAACTTGAGCTTGAAGCGAATCACAACATGTCCGTCATCTCTACACCCATCACCGAGCTATTCGGTATCAAGCACCCCGTCTTCCTTGCTGGCATGAACGTCGCAGCCGGCCCAGCTCTGGCTGCCGCGGTCAGCAACGCCGGAGGTCTCGGGGTCATCGGTGGGATGGGTTACTCGCCCAAGATGCTGCGCGGGCAAATCCGGGAGATCAAGAAGGACCTAATCGACCCCAGTCTCCCATTCGGTGTTGACCTGCTCATCCCGCAGGTCGGGGGCAACGCACGCAAGACCAATGTGAGCCCATTTCTGCCCGGGAATCACATCCGCTCAGCTTCCGCCAGTATGACTACACCAAGGGACAGCTGGCTGACCTCATCGAGGTCATCATCGAGGAGAAGACATCTCTCTTCGTGTGTGCTGTGGGTGTTCCCCCCAAGTTCGCCGTGGACCGCTTGCACCAGGCTGGTATTCCCGTGAGTAACTTCCTCAGCCCATGTGATCATGACTCACCCCAGGGATCAGGTTATGAACATGGTCGGCCACCCCAAACACGTCGCCAAGGCTCTTGAAGCCGGGGTCGACCTTATCTGCGCTCAAGCTGGCGAGGGCGGTGGACACACCGGTGACATCCCTGCTAGCATCCTTATCCCCGCGTGTGTCGATGCCGTCAAGGGCCACAAGTCCCCGCTGAACGGCAAGCCCATCTACGTCATTGGCGCCGGTGCCGTGTATGACGGGCGTGGGCTAGCAGCGAACCTGATGTGGGGAGCCGAAGCCGTGTGGGTCGGCACGCGATTCGTCGCGTCAGAAGAGGCCGGTGCTCCGCAAAAGCACAAGGACCTCGTCGTTGGCGCTGGCTACGAGGACGCCGTGACGACTCTGATCTACACGGGCCGGCCGCTGCGTGTTCTGAAAACGCCTTATATCGAAGAATGGAACACAACGCGTATGCCTGAGCTCAAGGCGCTCACCTCCAAAGGTCTGCTCCCGCACGAAGAGGAGCTGAAGAAGCGCCCTGAGATCTCGATGTCCACCCGTCCGTGGTTGATGGGCCGTGTTGCGGCAATGATTCACGATGTGCTACCTGCGAAGACGATTGTGGAAAACATGGTCACCGATGCGGCCAAAATGTTGTCTAGGGGGAGTGGATATCTAACCGCCAAGGCCAAGCTGTAGTAATAAGCCTGTAGTATTGTGGTGGAATATCGATGGGTGTTTAGATGGCCAACCGCGATCTTTTCGGCTCTCTTGCACACAGTTTGAATGACCAGGAAGGAGGATAAGGCCAAGACGTATTTCATTGAGCGCGACTTGACGCGAGTTTGTGACTGTTGGGCCATAATCAATCTCGACAATGCTAGGAGTACATAGTGGTAGAGTTCCTCGGATACTGTCGAGATGCAACCGTTGATTCTTCTACTGAGAGTGATACTAACCAGAGCTACGTGCTTATCTTGAGATTGGGAGCAATCATTGCAAGCACTATTCCAGCGCAGTAATGCCCCTCGCAGACACGGTCACCTGACCGTGAAGAATATTTCAGAATCATCATGCGGTGATTCGACGGACTCGGAAAACCCCACGCTACTGACTTCGATGTACAGCACCTCATCGATATTCCTCCAGGCCCTCTCTGACGCCGGTATTACTCACCTCTTTGTGAACTGGGGATCCGATCATCCCGCCCTCTTAGAAGAGCTTCAACGTCAACGAGCACAGAGCACGGATGGGAAGACGGCGTGTGAAATTGTGACCTGCCCCAATGAGATGGTCGCACTTTCCGCCGCGCAAGGATATGCCCAGATCTCCGGGGAACTGGCAGCGGTGATTGTTCATGTCGATGTTGGGACTTTGGTAAGTGAGCAGCGGCATGTGATTCCCCGTTCTCATCTGTCCCTCAGGCACTCGCTGGCGCGATCCACAATGTTGACCGTTCTAGAACACCGGTCCTAATTTATTCAGGCGCATCGCCCTTCAGCAGTGGGGGAGAGTTGAAAGGCGGTCGAAATGAATGGATCATGTCTATCCAAGGTGCGCGGAGTGCTCCACGGATGACAACCTCGTAGCCGAACTCGGAATCTAGATATTCCCGACCAATCAGGGATCCTCCGCCAGTACATGCGGTGGTCGAGCCCGATTGAGAGCAGTAAAGTAGTCGGCCCTGTTGTCCAGCGTGCACTCCAAATGTTTGGAATAGTCACCGCACACTTCGCGCTCTGATCATTTCTCCAGAGCGACCAGTTCCCCGAAGGGACCGGTCTACCTTTGGGGGCGGAGAGAGATCATGGAGGAAAGAGTGGACACATTGGACGCTAATATTTCCATGCAAAGGTGGCCGGCTGTCGAACCAGCAGCGCTCTCCCATAGAGGTTCGTCATTCAGTCACAGAATGATGTTTGCAGAGACCAACGTTCACTCGAGCCGCATCGATCATCGCGGAAGCCCTCTGCAACGCCCGCTCTCCGCTGATCATCACCTCTCATTCCGGACGCAGCCCCGCCAGCATCCCTCTCCTGTCGGAGCTCGCCTCGACTTTGGCAATTCCGATCGTGGCCGTCTGTCCCTCCGCTGTCCCTGTCCCCTTCTCTCATCCGTGCTTCCTCGGCACCACCTTTCTGAATGGTGCCACTCACAACCCTCGTGTTGCGACCGCGGACGTGGTGCTTGTGCTGGACTCGGATATCCCATGGATCTCCTCGGCACAGGCTCCGAGCGAAAGTGCTCGCATCTTTGTGATTGATTCTGGAGATCCGCTCAAGACTGTGTCGGCAGTCGGCCAGTGGCATGTCGATGCCGAACTCATGTGCAACGCGGACACCGTTCTGGCGCTGCAGGATATCTTATCCTTGATTGCGCAATTCGAGAGGGACAAGGAGATCGTCGAAGAACGGAGGGTTACTGTCTTCTCTGAGCATGAGAGCTGGTTGCGGAGGCTAGACACCCTCGAAGGTGCATGGCCTGAACAAGGGTTTTCGGTCCCCAATATTCTCGGCGTCTTGCGCAAAGCAATCGAGTCGCAGACAACTTTGGCACAGACTGTAGTGCTGAATGAGAGCATCAGCAGCTATACTTCCGTCTGGGATCACATGCGCACTGAAGTTTCAGGAGGCCAAATCACCAGCGGAGGGTCGTCACTCGGCTGGGCGCTTGGTGCGGGTGTCGGGGCAAAGATGACAGACATAGGGAAGAGCAAGCTGGTGGTGCTGGTGGTCGGAGATGGATCGTTCCTCTTCGGCGTCCCGAGTTCTGCATATTGGATGGCGAGGAGATACGACGCTCCCTTTCTGACGGTAGTATTGAATAACGGAGGGTGGAAAGTGGGTTCAAAACTCCCAGTGTCAACCTCACAAATGGCTGACCGGACCTGACACAGTCTCCCAAGTTGTCTATGCTCGCTTGTCATCCTCAGGGTCACGGGAGCATGGCCTCCGGAGCAGATTTGTCTGTTGGGTTCGGGCCGTACTCGCCCGAATTTGCACAGATTGCAGTAGCTGCGTCCGCGGGCTGGGCTTGGGGCAAAAAGATTGCAGGCAATGGAAATCAGTCGGATTTGGAGAAGGGTCTTGCCGAAGCAGTTCGAGCGGTGATAGAAGAGCGCAGATGCGCAGTGGTCGATTGCGTCCTTGAATCTGTGTAATCCCGGCCATCGAGATGAATGTTGACAATGACAGTTGACCACAGTAGGCTTGCATAGCAGGGCTTGATGAACCAATCATCAGACTTAGATGAGAACCGTCACTCGCGCAACTCAAGGCAAATCGAGATTCAACTGCTACCGCATATCGATTATGTCGCTGTGATCTGGAGAGCGTCTGTAGCTCTTTCTACTTCATTTGCAAAAACTTTGCAAAAGGCTTCCATCTCCCGGTGTACCCTGCCCCGGCACACTGCACACTGCCCCATTGCCTTGTCTATCGCGCTATTCACCAAATCTGAGTGGATCTCGACTGTCTCGCCCACCGGTCTCTCTTTCAAGGCTACCGCCGCCTCGCCGATGAAATCCGTCCACCACTTGGACGCCCACTTGCGCCGATCGGATGAAATGACGACCACTGCGAGGCCGCGGCAGGCGGTGCATTCGAACCACGGGGAATTCTCTTTGATGATCCACCGCAGATTGCGAGCGACGGCCTCTGCGGCGTTACCGCATCGCACGTGGAAGCTGTGGAGGCGGAGATAGTCGCCTGCCGTGATACATTCCAGCTCCGGCGTGTACGCCTGTTCGAGTAAGGGGGTGCGCAAGAAGGCTCGGGCGCAACGCCGTGTCTCCTCGCTGATTTCGAGGCCGCGGTCGCGCTGGGCGTGGAGTGCGACTGCGTAGCCGCCCAAGGATAGCGGGAGCAGGTGATGAGTAAGCAAGTGCGTACGAGCGATCTTCTCGGGCCCATCCATACAGTACTTCTGAGCCGCCTGTACTACGCCGAGGCAAGTCTCAAGATCGGACAAGAGTGTCACGCGACAGCGGGCATCGTCCCACGGCGGATAGCACAGGCGCAGCAGCGGATCCACCACTTTGCTGTCTTCGGGGACTGGAATGATGGGAATCATGTCGTGGGATGGTGTGCTCAGGATGGAGCAATTATCTGAACGATAGTATTTTCTTGTTTGCGGCAGGGACAAGACCGCAGGCCACACACTTTCGACAGAGCTGCGCCGAAGCAGAACTTGATGTGTCCGATACTCGAAGCCGTCGGAGGAACGGATGACGACGTCAGCCTTCTCGTCGTCAAAGGGCGGCTCGTTGACTGCGATGTAAGTTGGATCGCTCATTGGTGGGTCAATGAATATGCAGCAAGCTAGCATATATAGCTCTCTGAGTCTTTTCTTTCGGTATGTAATAGAAACGGCGTGCGGCGAATCATTATCACCCATTGCATCCACAGTCTTGGACTATCCCAGGAAGTGACTGAGATTATAGCCGGGTGGATGAAGTATCAGCCGCATGGGAATAGCGGGGTTCTGCGCCTACGTACAAGGTGCAGACGACGGCAAATCAGGGCTGTGGTGCGTCTGGCATAAGGTCAGGAAATCCGCCCCGTGTCAAAGCTCTGCGAAAGCATTCTCGCGGAAATCTGAGATTGCATTCACTGCCAGTAAGTTTTCGACGGCCTGAGCGCGCGTGCACTAGGAGCCCGCGGGCTCGGGGCCTTGCTATTTTGTCGACTAAAGTTCAGGGACGTGGTACATTTGTCAAGTGTTACATATGTGATAATTTGTTCTATGAACGGAGATGGGCTTCAAATACATCATGCCACACTCGGAGGTCGAAATATTCGAACCACTGGTGTCCAAATGCAAGACTGGGAACTTGTCCCACTTGTGATCCCACTTGCACAAATTTGGCGGATTTTATCATGCCGAGGGTTTCCTAGTTCGCGTGAGGAAGTCAACAAATGTCATGCTGCAGGACTTACTGAAGCACACCGGAAAGGTATCACCTGATCCTGGACACATGGTAAAATCAGCGAGCGATCTGGGTAAGTGCAGCCTGTCAGCCAACCTTTTGGCCGTGGATGACGAGAATCTTGACCCTGCGAGAAATTCCAGGAAAAAGTGCTGCAAAGTCAAAATTTTGCAGCTAAGGCTCGAGGTGAGCATAAAAGACGCGTTCTCAGCGTGAGACGCACTGCGAGTCGTTGCTGTTCTAAACGAGGTGCGTCAGCACTGATTAATCAAGGCAAATTATACAGATGGCAGATACCGATAGTAGACGGAGGTCGCGGCCTGCTTAGCACAGCTTAGTCGAGAATGACATGTTCCAGAACGGGACTTGCCGTCCATGGACCGTGGCTTGGACAATGTTCTCGAAGCGCACGGGGTTAGCTCCTAGCCAGGCAGGATCGAATGTCGCTTCGAGAGTTCGTCGGATCAGTTCCATTCGCTGTGCGGGAGTTCGAGGCACAGCCGTAGGCCGTATCTGGAGGCCATACTGAGCCTCTTGAAGGACCACCGATCGTGTTGAGATCAGGAAAACGTGGGTCACTCGGAACGGAAGGGGAAGATTTTGCAGCGGGAAGACCAATAACTGCTGAGCAACAACACCTGACACAGATCATTGAGATTTTTATAGCCAAGAGTGATAATCGTTTTACCGCCCATAGAGTAGCCACACAAAGCGACTTCGTTCCACCTTAGGTGGAGAACAAGTTCGACCAAGTCGCGCGCCATCCTGCTGATGGTGATATTTTCCGATCCGTGAGTCGAGTCGCCGATCCCACTAACGCAATTGAGCACCGACACAAGATGGGCGTTCTAGGGCTTACCGGTGATCGTAGACGAGCACTGAAACCGAGTTAGCTAAGAGTGAGCTACAGGCCGGGGAGTTTTACCTGGCCGCGATTGCGCAAGAGCTGGAGCAAGCGCTCGCCAGTCCGCTTTGGCCATGCCCATCCCGCAAAGCAGGATGAGGGGGGCTACGGCCCCCAGAAAATTCGGGCTGAGGACCTCGTAGGAGATGCTGGCGCCGTCCGGAAGGGTAAACAAAGCCATGGAGAGGTCTGTAGAGGGATCCCCAAAAGTGGACTCGCGTCCCACATTTATAACGGCCAAAACATCCAATGAGTATTCTGCCCCGCGAGGTACTGCACCCGAGAGTTACTGCACCCGATCCAGAAATGGCATAGCACCCGTTTGTGATGCATCTGCCTAGTGCGTTTTCTCGGGTGCTGAATACATGACAAGCACAAGCGGCTCGCGGGGACTTGCTAATGGTCTGGGTGTGGACTCCGGTCAAGATGACTCGCGTGAAAGCACTGGAACGTAGGCGGCAAGTGTTCTCTTGATTAGCAAGAATCGATATCCAAGCTCAAAAAGTAGAAGGCCGTCCATAACCCGTAGGCGAAAGCGGAGCCCGAGCGGGCTGACACAGAAATGGTGGTACCTTGAGCCGGACATATGTCATGTAGGCGATAGACGACGAACGAGAGAAGCGGAGTACCAAGTATTATCTGCCTGCATAGAATCCAAGATAGCGGATAGACAAAAATAAAGAAGGGGCCGCATCCCGCATTGTCTAGCCAAGGATTTCAGAGCTCGAAACCGCAGCCGAGGAGTTCTGAGATCGGCCCAGATGACAAAAAACAGACTTGAATGAGTATAGATCTATCCCTCCGGCCGTCAGGGACCTCGGACAAATCATCCTGGTAGGCTGCAGCCTGCCAGGGCGACCGTCGCAATGAGAGCAAGCGCAATCGCTGGCAGCAGGGTTGACCAGTATCCGGTCCGAGATCAGAAGCTCAGAGGTGGGCGTGCAACAACCGTGCCACAATCAGAGCCGATGGCACAGTGGAAGGGAGGCCACTATGACGTGCCGTCAACATACCATAATTCACGTGTGAGGCAGGACACGATCACGTGGGATTGTTGAGCTCTTTCATCGCCACTCCCTCTGTGGCGACAACGACGATGCTGCCCATGGAAACGCCGTCTCGGATATGGCGCCGTATAGAGGCGATAGAGGACATGGACATGGACATGCCGTCCCTCCCGTCCCTTCCCGGCCTAGGCGGAGACTCAGACGGGGACGATTCTCTCAACCACATCACCCGAATGTCAAGCGAAAAGGATATGGTTGACGGGAATCAGAGTAACATATCGCTGCCTATGACCTCGACACCGGCCGCTGCTTCGCACCGCGCTTCCACCATTCGCCCAACCTCGAGCACCACATCCTCCGCCTCACGTTTCGCGAATTCTATTGCCCGCACATCTCGCTCCTCGACTGGACGGTTTTCCTCGCGGAAGAGTCAGATAGATAGCTTCGACGAAGTCAGTGTCATCCCATCCTTGCCAGACATTCTGCCAGATCGAGGCATCAGTGGTCACTATCCGAGCGAAGACGACGATGAGGCATCCAGCAAGGACAGCGTGCCCGAGATATACCTACCACCTCCAGAGGATGATGAATCAGACTCTCCCCACCTGTCATTGTCGGATGCTTTGGATTCCCTCAGCCGAACGAGCTCGCCGCCACCACTACCGCTCGTCAGCAGGGATGCCACACCAAGAAAGAACTACGACTATTCCGTCAGTCTGCGATCGGAACCCAAGGTGTGTTGGATGTATCAGTGCAGCATACTTGTTATTCATCCATTGAAGCCCTCGCCGTTTGACAAGTTCCGCAACGTGGCCATGCGGAGACCGCCAGCACGAACGCCATCACTTTCCCGTACGGCATCCTCGTCTTCAACCTCTTCACCGACACATTCCACGCCGAGGAGTAATGTGTCAGGCGTCCCTCGCTCAAATCCCAGCTCGCCCCTACTTGCAACGACGGTTCCATTACCCCGCTCAGCGACGGCATCTCCCGCGATTGTTATTTCTCGGCCGGATAGTGAAAGCAGCGAAAGCAATGATTCGTATCTAAAAGATGGCGATACACAGTCGATGGATATTACTGATGTCCACATCTCGCCAGCGAGGGCCGGTGCAAGCGCGGACGAGGAGTCGACCAGCGAGCCTGAACCTACTTTCTCCTCTGAGGGCGGGCCGACCTTCCAAGTGGATCGATCGCGTCCCGAATCGAGTGCTCGATCGAGCCCTGGCAGCAGGACTGCAATGCCCATCACATCTCCGGCTGCATCTTCAGTGGCGACTCCAACACCAGGGCCGAGAGCACGCTTCAATTTGCCCTCGGACGATGATCCTCAGACACCGGGCGCCACTACCGACACGGGTGATGATGTGCTTACTCCCCACACGCGGCGACGCTCGTTCCTGCTGTCTGTGATCAACTCGACTGCTCGTCCACGCATGAAGTTTCCCACGCCTCATCCAAGACGAGCTGCTCCTCCCGATGAAACCCCGGCCGGCACTCCGGTCCCGGCTTCCCGATTGGCTGCCCTGAATGCGACGCCAGGCCCCGGCACAGCGTTCTCGGGTGTCACTGCACGCGCGCAACGACGCGTTTCGCATCCTTTGGCTCAGAGCTTCGTTCCTTCTCCCGGGACATCGGATTCTGAGTCCATCAGTGGCGCCACGCCGTGGGCCACACCCAGCCCTGCCCACGAGGGAGCATCAATAATTTCAACGGCGTCTTCTCATGATCTAACGACCCATCACTACCGCGCCAACACATCCTTTGATCCGGCTATGGGTTTTGGCGCCGGCGCGCAGCACGGGGTCGGCCGATTCAACGCAGGGAAACTCAATACATATCTGCACGGCTTAAATCGACGCCTGCAGGAGGAAAATGAGATTTTGGTCGATCGGGTGAAGAAACTCGAGGAACAGCGCGGAATCGAGCCCACTGAAAATCGTCGCCTCAGCAGCGGCAGTGCTGGACGTCGGACCAGTCTCGGTGGAACTGTTTTGGGGAGCGTCGAGGAAGACCGTGCGGCCGAAGGATGGCTGGAGGAGAAAGCCGAACTCGAGGAGATGGTCGAGACCTTCAAGCAAGAGTTGAACCGGTGCGAAACTGAGAAGACCGAGCTGGAAGGCTCGCTCGAGACCGAGAAACGAGACCGCGCTGGAGATAAGGAACGATGGAAGGAGAGGATGAAGCAAGTCGAAAGCGGCGTTGCAGAGATTGTCGGGGAGCTAGAGGAGAAGCTTCATGCAGCAGAGAAACAAGTCCAAACGCTGGAAGAGGACGCTGCCCAGCAGGCCAAAGAGAACGAGAGGCACGTCTCAGCAGTCGAAGAGGAACGTGATCTCGCCGCAGCTCGCGCCGAGAAAGCCGAACGTGTGCTTGAAAGTGGAAAGGAGCTCGGCGGCGAACTTCGCGAAGCAAACGAGCGACTCGACAAGGCATTGGCTGATCTCCGCGGTGCCAATGGCCAGATCCAAGATCTCGAAGATGCGGTCCTTCAAGCTGAATCCAAGATCGACCAGTTGGGACGAGAACTTGATGAGGAGCGTGTCATAAGTGAGGAACTCCGCCAGGATCTCAAGGCCGCGGCCAATCAAGACGGTCATCTGGCTGATGTGGAGGAAGAGCTGCGTACTACCAAAGAGTATGTCGTTGAGCTGGAACAGGCTGCTGAGGGTGCAGTCGCCAGTATCCAATCGCTCGAAGCACAACTGGCTACAGGTCAAGAAGAACTGGAGCGACTGACCGCGGTCGAAGATGAGCTGGCCGGTCAAATCGAAGAAGCAGAGGGCGGCCGTGATCGCGCTGAAGAGCTTGCACGGCAGATGGAAGATGCGTTGGAAGCTGCTGAAAGCAAGATGGTGGACGATGAAAACGAAGTTGCTCAGCTCAAAGGTCGGATTGCAACTCTGGAACAAGAGCGAGAGCGACTGCGCGATAGATCAGCACAAGGTGCCAGCCCTGGCGTCTCGGAGGAAGACTTGGAGGCACTTGAAGACGAACTGGACAACGCGAACCGGGAGATCGCTCGCCTCAATACTCTGCTGAACCAGTCACCTGCCCGCAAGGCGATCGAAATGGCCAAGGATGCGCGAATCGACATGTTGGAGAAAGAGAAAGAGGACTTGCTCGAGCGAGTCAAGTCTCTACGAGCGACCATGACGGAAATCGGAACGCCTAGCAAAGCCTTCGATACGAGCATGATGTCTCCAATGCGTCGACAGGTATCCATTCGAATGCCCAAGACTCCCGTGGTCCTCTTCGAGATGTACGAGTGTCCTCTTGCCTCTATTCTAACTGACTCTTTGCTAGATGTCGTGGCTGAATCAAACTAACGCAGATGGCACGATCTCGCCTCTCGTCGCTGAAATCAGTCGCCTGCAACGTGAGCTGGACCTCGCCAACCAAAGCATCGACGACAAGCTCGACAAGCTGGAGGATGCAGGCTTGGGGGTTGTTGAGTTGACACAACGTCTCGGCGATGCTCGAGCGAAGATTTCTTTGCTCGAGGAAGAGATCGCCCGGCTTTCGCGCAAAGAGCAACGGCGAAATCATCGGCTGGAACGCGCTAGATGCCAAAAGTGTCTCGTCAAAGTCGATCTCCGAAGTGTCATCGATGCTGATGAGAGGTGTGTGGTTCCTTTCACTTGCTGCTCAGTGCTGATTGCACCAGCTCGATTCTGGGACTGAATGCCACGTTACCGTCTGAGCCACCAACGCCTCCAACACGAACCAGTCAAGCTCTGCGCGAGGACCTCCATTCTGCCAATGCAAACCTGGCCAAGATGAAGAAGCACTGGGAAGATGAACGCCAGAAGCTGCTCGGAGAGAAGGCCGTCTTGCAGGATGCCGCCAATCGCATGAACGGCCGAGTGCGATCTGCTGAGGAAGAGACGAAGAAAGTCGTCGAGACCAAGGCTGTCAGTGACAAATTGAGGAATAGTGCTGAAGCCGTGAGTCGGGAGCCTTGTACTACCCGATCTAAGCTCTGATCTGCGCTATTAGGAATTAGAGAACGCGCGAAGGGTCATCTCCGAATTGGAAGCTGACCTGCAGGACAGAGAGGTCTCGCCTTCGATCTTTGTCCACCGAGACACTCGTGCGCAACGGGAGAAGGAGAACATTCTGCTGCAGCTGAAACGGACAGAAACCGTAAGCATTGTGATTATTGCTGTGATTCCGCACTTGACTTGACGCCCAGGACATGGACGCTGTTCGCCGGCAGTTGCACAATTTCAAGCAGGAAAATCACGAAATGGAGGCTGAATTGCGCAGTGCGTTCAGTTGGTTCTTGGTGCTGCTTGATTGGTGACAAGCGATCAGGCAACGCAAACGCTGACCAACGAGCTCGCTTATTGGAAGACCGCTCGCAGAGAATGCTGAAACGATGGAGCAACTCCGTCAAGAACGAGCGCTGCTGTCGACCGATCACAAAGCACTGCAGAAACGCTTCACGGAAATCTCCGAGGCAAGTCTTTTCTCTGGATGCTTGAATTGATGGCTCAACTCTGAGCAGCAAGCCAACCGGCTGGGAGCAGAGCACCACCTCCTGCAGACCGCTCACGATGACCGTCGCCAAGGACTTGATCTGCAGAGGCAAGAATCGACGAACTGAAACGCGCTCTCGATGACCAAGCCGACGAGCTCCAAGCGCTCAGGCCGAACGCAACCGGGCTGCTGCGGAGAAGAATGATGTGGCGCGCACAGTCGCTTTGCTGGAGGCTGATTTGAAACGAGTTCGGAAGATGCAGAAGCGTTGGGCGGGATTTGAGGCTACTGAAAGCTGAGAAGGAGCGCTCGGAAGCCAAGCAGAGGGAGGATGCTGTCAAGCCGAACGCGCCAAAAAGCAGAGCCAGAGCCAGATACGAGTGTTGACCGAAACTTGAAGGTCAACGAGCCAAGACGCAGAGGGCGAAGGAAGACTTCAAGCAACACATCTGTCTATGTGAGTCTTGCTTTGGACTGGCTAACCACTGAGCTGATATCTCGAGAAGGGATGAGCGACAACTGTCGGGTCTCAAGATGCAACATAATCGAGAATGCAAGGGTCTGATGGTTCAAATTCGAATCTGAAGGCCAAATTCACTCGCGAATCGTCGTTCCGTGCTGGGCTGGGCTACCAGAAAGGCCATCTACTGGTGCTGCTGTCTGTTTAGAACGGAGGTGTGCCACGACAAACAGTTTGCGCCGACGATATGATTCTGATCATCCATTCAGCGAACACAACATCCTGTCCTCCATTGCACGGATCGGTTTCCCAGCACGGCAGGCGCCTCCGACGAAAAGACCTAGACGGTGAAGACTGTTGCGTTGAGCGTTGTTTTTCTTGAGTCGGGCGAAACGCGCTGCGAGAGCTGGAGGACAGAGAGAGCGTCAAAGCGACACATCGAAGCTGCGTTGCAAGACGTGCGTCGGCAGCGCGCCATATCAGCGGGGTGATAGAGCAGGATGATGCATCGATATCTTATACTGTACCATATGTGTTACATATTATTTGGTTATTGTACTAGCGATAATTTTCTGTTGGAGATTACGGTTTTCGTGCGATGAGACGGAACGCGTTTTTTTCGAAAAGACGTAGGAGAGCCCGCTCCAATTGTGGTGGTGGCCACAATCAGTCTGACAAGATTGGTCAAATGGTATTCTCCTGGGACTAGGAGAATGACAGACTGGAGTCCCTGAAGCGGCACGCTGATGTCCATCGGTACCAAGGGGCTGACTGTGGTCACACCCATGAGCAGCAGCTGCAAAGCTGTGTTGACCTTTTGTGTGTTTCAGTCAAGAGGAGGAGGAGCAAGATCCTGCATGGCTGACTTTACTGATGTATGTGGGGCGAACCTCGACAGACGGTAGTGAAAAGTCCCAATACCGCGCAAACGTCCTCTATTTGAGAAACTGCTTGTGTTGCGTACGGAGGAGACAATAGCATGACGCACGGGAGGAGGCAGGATGTATACCGGATCCAAAACGCAGACAAGCTGAGCAAAACATCCCGACCTAAGATGATGACCGCGAGCGGAACTGCAGATACATGAGACGCGATGCAGACACGACGACGTGGGGAGGGAGGGCATTGCTTACGCGGTAACATGCCTTTGACAGTCAGCGTCACCGCCAACGTCGTGACCAGCGCCTTGTCCGCCGCGGGATCGAGAATGGTGCCGAGACCGTCTTGCTTTGAAGCGGCGCGCGAGATACCCGTCAGCCTGTGCCCCGGACGCGTGAGTGAGGCGGGTGCAGGCATATGGAGCGGTCACACGAACGAGGTCGGTCAGCCGGCGTAGACGAGGATGGACGTCGCGAGCGGGAAGTGCCCGCGACGACGGCCCAGCCGAGGATGGGACATGCGACGAGACGCGACGCGGTGAGGAGATTGGGGATAGTGTATATGT